GGTTGGTAGTATATATATATATATATATATATATATATATATATATATATCTATCGATACTAGATTTCTTTCCCGAGGATTACGTGGCTTTGGGGAGAGAATGAATGCGAGAGACGATGGAGACGGGAAGGTAGGTAGAGAGGACGTTTGCTGCCTGGCTTTAGCGAGGGCGGAAACCAATTTTGAAAGAGAGGGGAGCGCTTATACCTGGAGCCGAGCAATTGTACACAGTTGTGCACAGGCATGTTGATACTTGGATATGGTAGCCAGCCAGAAGAAGGAAGAATTACGGCTGAACAAGACGACGGCAAATAACCGTTTCGAAGGCCCAGTTGTGCATAACCAGGGAACCGTGATTGATGTCTGACATTGACCTACTTGTACATGCAGGTCGGAGATCCAGTCTATATTCAATTCCCCGCAGAATCCGACCTTGTGGCGTGCCTGATAGAGCCATGCATCTACATGCTTGCTACTTTCGTGATGTAGGGATATCAGGGTAGTACCAAATGGCAACTAATGAAATCAAGATTTTTGTCAGCGGAGCTATCCAGGTATACACGCTGCCTGCATTCTCGAAATCAGAATTCCAATGCCGTGAGGGCCATGAGGCTGTTAGCATGAGTGCGTATAACATAAACAACGCCGCCCAAATCGCTTCAATTAACCGAGTGACCCTTGATTCATACCCCCTTATCGCAGTCAGACTACGGGTTTGCAGCCACCACCACCGCCATTCCAGAATTTTGCCCATCGACAGCTTCCTAATGCACCTCATGGGTTCGTTTAAGGCCGGTCTGTCACTAGCCTCTGTGCTTCTTGAAAGCCTCTTGGACTGTCATCCCTTTCTCCACGTCCTCCTTCACTCGGTCGTCTGCTTCCACAAGACCAGGCAAGATTGCGAGGAGCTCTTCGACTTTGTCGTGTGGTATCACTACTACGCCGTTGACGAAGTCGCTGAAGACCAAATCCCCGGGTCTGACAACGGTCCCATCGATGTCCAGTGGTACTTGAACGGCATGCGCTTTTGCTTCTAAGCCACTTCCGACGATCGAGGTAGCCTTGCCCCAGATCTGGTAGCACTCAGTATGTTGATGATAATGGATCAGGATATGGAAGACATGATAACAGGAAACCGAATCGACTATAGTAGAGCTTGTTGTGTAGTGCAAAAACCTTGAGAATTTGAAATATACGGTGAGCAAGGGGCGCATGCGAAAAAAGAACCTACGGGAAGGGCTGTGGTTGCCAGTTCCTCAATATCTCTCACTCTGCCATTCACAACGATACCTTTGGCATTGAGGACCTTCATCCGGAGAGCCATGATGCCGCCAAGAATCGCACATTTCTGCCCCAGAGGCTGTTGCATAACCACGATAGTCTCTGGCTCTGTGAGATCCACAAAATGCTTCCCCGACGGGATGTTCGCATCTATATAGCCAGAAGTATCTCCGGTCTTGGGAGCAAACAACACCGTGGAAGCAGGGGCTACCAGCACATCCGGATTAGAATCACCTTCGCTACCTTCCGGAGCCGTAGAAGGAGGAGCAAACAGCTTCAAATCTGGAAGAAAGCCTGCATTGGGAACGTTGAGTTTGACAAGTGCGTCCGCTATGTCGCAGGCTGTGTAAGTCCCAAGCTCCTGCAGCTGGTGCGAGGTCGCCATGGTTCGGGACTGGGGATAAAATAATGATGCGAACAGGAAGGTTATTGTTGCAATACGCAAGGAAAGGTGAGAAATGCCTGCAGTCACTGGCACGTATACCGCAAGCGGAGGATAGATCTGCACAATTGACGATGTATTGATATGGGATGGTGATGTTGAAATAGAGGTGGAAGCTAGGGTTCTATCAGGAAAGCGGTGGAAAGCTCGCCGTTTCAAAGGAAACCCCCATCGACCGGTAAAAGCGGCATGGGGCGCTTTCAGGTACGGAGCCTTGAGCTCACTACTTATGGAATGAGCCAGTTGAACGTTCCAGTCTTCTTCTTCATCTGATGAATGTAGGTAGCTATTTATTAAGTACTGGTACAGCAGGCTCGCTTGGCGCACCATGGCCAATAAGCCGGAAAGTCTACTCCGGACCTTCGACTCTGTACGTTGTATACGTAATGGTACTTGTACTACGTACTTCATCCGGCGGATCTGTTCCCCTGCAAGTTGCAATACCGGTAGGCTCCATGCAGTCTGAATACTCTATCTCTACCGATGGATATTCAAGGATATGGACGGAGGATACCGAGAAGATATAGAATGGATATATATATATATATATATACTCAAAGAGAAGTACATCAATGCTATCCGAAATTGTAAAGATAGATATAGTCTGTATAGGTATATGGCGCTGTTTGTACCCATCTCCAACCTTCCTCAGCGTCGCCTCCCTCTCTATCCTCGACCCGTCATGATGTAGAGTCACGTGATCCCGACTGACTTTCCTTAACCTTGGCGATGACGAAAAGCGGAAGCGCGTGATGCGGGCCATGCCGAAGAAGGTGGGTTTAATTCCATGCAGTACTGTCCGTACGGAGCCTGTCCGTCGGTAGGCGAAAGGCAGAAATGCAGAAAGGCAGAAGGGCAGAAGGGCAGAAAGGCAGAACGGCGTGATGATTTCAAACTTATAAAATCACCGCACAAACATACACATACACATACACATACACATACACACACACACATATCCGTTCTCTATATCAACCTCCCTACCTTCACTTACTCATCTGGCTACGCTACTGTCCTCAGCTGCTGCAAGATACTGACTGCCCTGAAACCTTCAGCCCAGTTCCACTTCACTTCAACCCGCGCCCTCACCTACCTACCTACCTACCCACCTACCGGTACCTACCTACCGTCCGCCCGACAGTAACTTCTACATACCGTACTATATCTACCCTCCCTCCGTACTTACCTACCTACCAGTCCCCCGGATCCCCGGCGAACAGCTACGGAGCCTACCGGTTTCTGTTTCTGCAACTTGCCGTTGAGCCGACGAAGAGAGTTCGTTCTCTGCTCTTAGCACCTACACTTGCGGCTGGAACCCCCCCCCCACTCCTCTGCATACAAACTGGTTTGGGGCAGAGTTAGCTAAACTCAACATGTCTATCAAGTAAGTCCCATACCAGGATCTCGCGTCTTTCTTGACTTCTTTCTGTCTTCGTTGCGCCCCAGAAATTCAGAGTCCCTTCATCATGTATCAATTCCATCAAGAGCAGCATCTCTACGCTTCAAAGCTGGCCCATGACAAATTGCTAAAGCAAACTCGCCGCAGCTGGGTAATGACCAACCCTGCCGAGCCGGGCTTTGTCAAACTGCCGAACGAAAGAGTATTCTACACATCCCCGCCGCGGACGAGTCTACAATTATCGTCCTCGAGCACATTCCCCGGATCGGATCCTTTTTCTGCGAAAAGCGACTCTGGGATTCTCTATCTCACCAACCAAAGGGTAAGAAGACACGTTCCAGTCGCTTGGCTCCTACTTACGTCTGTACAGATAGTCTACCTTCCATCAGCGCCGACGCCCGAGCTTAAATCCTTCTCGACACCCATTCTCAATCTCCAAGACAGCTACGTGCGAGCGCCCTTCTTTGGCGCAAACTACTGGGTTGCGTTATGCAAGCCCGTAGCCGGAGGAAATATCCCACCGACGCACGCGGCAGTTGAGTTGCGATTTACGTTCAAGGACGGTGGAGCCTTCGATTTCCACACCATGTTCGAGCAAATAAAGGAGCGTCTACACCAAGCGTATGTGGTGGCCCAAGAGACTTCGCATCGGGATGCTGCCGGAAACATAGACCTGGCGAACGTTCACTTGGAGCAATTGCCAGCCTACGAGGCACCTAGAGAAGCTCCCGAGGATGATGGACCTACGATAATTAGTCCCGTCCCCGTCCGTCCGACGAGGGACAGCGGGATTGGTGAAGTGAGAAGCTCTCTGACAAACTCGCCCAAGCCCGACGTACCTATTACTCCAGATGAGCCTCCTCCGGGCTATGAGGAAGCCCAAGCTCAGGCTGTGACGGTCGACCTGGACCACAGGCGGAGACTGGAGGCGGAGAGGCGGGATGACTAGGTATTCGGTCAATAAATAGTACACGGCGAGATGGGGATCTGTGAATTCTTGGGGAACAAGGCGCTCATTGCACTTGGTAGAGTTTTGCTCACGGTGAGCCTGTGCAAGGTGTTCCGGAGCCATGATTTGTCGATGAGATAGAATGAGTGTCGATTCTGATTTCTTGATTCCATGTCTCGCTACTTGTTTGTCTTGAATGTCAAATAGTGTAAATAACATTAGACTATTCTCGAAGCTCATCGTTTTCAAGTTGAGAAGACAAAGACATGATGGTCAAATTCATAGTGAAAGTGCACCACTTTCGGAATTTGGTGTCTAACAAAAGGGCGCAAAATTATTCATATTCGCGGTAAAAATGAAAAAATTCCAAACCTCATTTGTTCGGTCACTCAGGCTTCCAACAACTAAGCACATACGAAGTTCCGACTCCATTATTTGAAAGAGAAATCCTACGTACTGCCTTGCTCGCCTTGCACCAAGTGGGACGTGCACCCGGAATATCCAGGAAGCCCTTGAAATCACGTGTCTAATTCAGATACAGACCAACCAATCAACGCCAACCAATTTCAAGCTTCTTTCGGCAGCTCGAGTCTTTCCGCTCCATCCTCATATCGACGTCGAACACGTACCACGCACACCACGCACCCTCGCCCCCATTGAGCCATCAATCGTTGTGCGTTGCGATCTTCTGCTACGATGGGATTCTTTGATAGCTTCAGCGACCTGCTGGAGGCGGCGCTGCCGTGGAGCTCCGCTGAGGCGGAGGCCCAGAAGGAAGAGGAGACCGAGGATGTGAAGGTACGTCTCGAAGCTCCTATTTTCAGCATTGGCAGAGGAGGAGGAGAAACATGGATACGAATGATGGCCAGGCAGCTGGTTTGATGGTGATCGGACTGGAGGTCTGTAGAACGGGTTGGGGTGGTTGGCGATGCGGCGGAATCTGCGCACAGTAGTTATGGATGATTGAGACTGGGACTGCAATTCTCCAGGAGGAAGTGTACATTTGCTAACAATATTATTTTTCTTTTTCAGGAAGAATCTACCAGCGAAGGAGGGGAGGAAGAATCTAAGGACGAGCCGGAGGAAGCCGAAGAAGAAGAAGAGGAGGAGGAAGAGGAGATGGTCGACCCTAAGGATAAGTTCGAGGAGGGTGAGTTTATACGTTTCTTTGGATGTTATGGATATGCAACGGCCTCGAAAATAGCGACACATTGGTCTAGGACCTGCCATCGCACTCTGTGGACAGCGAGGACTCTGGTCTACTTCCAGGGAACGATCGCCAGAACCTCAAATCCACCCCATATGTCGAGGCGGCATGTAATCAAGGAAAAATGCCAAATTCGACATGGTAATCGAGACTGTTCTATCGTTCTGCATCCCGACGAAGAGACTTGTCAACCGAACGCCACTCGAGACGAGGCATATCACCATACACCACGGATGCTGCATGAGAGGACCCTGTCAGGTGTCGGATGGATTGAAGAATATGTGGCGGGAAATAAAACCGCAAGAATCATACTGACTTTTGAAGAATGCAAGCAATCCAAGCAATGCTCCGGTCCAAAGCATCACTACGATGAGTGCGTCGAGCGTGTTACCAGTGCTACTCAGAGCGAGGACAAGAAGCAGCCAGACGAGGACTGCGTCGAAGAATGTAAGCTCTGTGTAGCCGCTCTTTCTACCTCGTATATACTGACAACGGTTAGTCTTCCATCTCGCTCATTGCGCCACCTCGTGCGCTGCACCAAAGCTTTGGGCTGCCCTCAAGTAGAAGCCTTTGCTTCTCACACGACAACACTGCATTTGAAATGCCCAGACGACTTATTAGATGGTGGGGGAAATAGTCGGTGCCGAGGCGGGCTTGTACAGACGCACAACACAACTCCTTGTTTGAGCGCGGGTTCTGCATGTATACTAGTAGGAAAAGGCTTATAGATGGATTCTGGTCTCTTGTGCATCTTGTGAGTCCCAAGGCAGAGAGGGAGCTTATACCAAGCCTCACCTGATGCAATTTTTGGCTTATTACTGATTATACTCTGTTTGTTTGGACCTTGGCCTGTCTTTCGTTCTCCCTGGTCTTCCATTCCCTTTTCTTCGATTCCTGGCATGTACAGTGGTCCCTTTCTTTTGCACCTTTGTCGAAGCCACCACTGTAATCGAGACGAGTTGGAGAGGCTATGTCTAGGAATGGGATTCGATCTTAGAGAATAGTCATGACCGAGTTCCAAGTCCAATATAGTGTGTTTCCTAACGGTGCCGGGCGCGGTAGACCCTTTTATATAAACGTGAAATTCCAGCATACCAACCGGCTTATGTGAGAGACAAGAAGATGAGATGCGTTCTCGGAGAGGGAATTGGCTATATCCCTCGGGCCTTCGCAAGATAGACTGGCTGGAGGTCAGAATAGTTATCAGATCTGTTTTTTGTGATGATGTCGATTCTCATCACTGTGCCTCGGCGGCGTCTCGACCCGGGTCCTTGGACAGCCGGGGGCAGTCCATTTCGAGGATACCGTCCCGGGCTGGCACGAGACCTTAGCTCATCATCCAGATCTCCCAAATCTCCCGTTGAATATATTCCACCATATACTGTAGCCTGTGAATTATTCCGATATACTCTATAGTTGTCTATATAGGCCTGGGCGAAAAAGCTTAGCAGGAGCTCGGATCACCAACCTACGTCAATTACGTCGTCAATTAAATTCGGACATGGGCCCCGACTCAGACAGCAACGATGTCCGCACCACAGCGTCCCCGAGGGGCCCGAGGGCCTCGAGGGCAGAGAAATCTGGCGTCGCGGTCTGCGAGAGAGATACTGCTCGGGAAATGTTGCCGGACTGGATGGTTATGCGGCCGATGAGGATGAGAGGCTTGAAGAGCAAGGGCAATGGCATCGGCAGCGAGAGGAGGAGAAGAGCCGATGGACTCGGTTCCAATGGAAAAGGGGGTGGAAATGGCAATGGCAATGGCATCGACGTTAATAGGAAGAGCGACTTCAAGATCACAGAAACGGACGAGACAACTGGCAGCGGTGACGGTCAAGACGGAACGGGGGACCTCGAAGCCTCGGACGACATCCGCAGTGACGACGAGCTTTTGGGATCCGATACCGACGAAGAAGATGGGCGTCGACGCGCTTCTGTGGTTCGTGAGAGTGAGAGGACTGATGGGGACGGGGAGGCATTAGCCCGCGGCCACACGGAATTCAAGGTCTACAAAAGGAGGTGGTTCGGACTGGTACAGTTGGTGCTCTTGAATATCATCGTGTCTTGGAACGTAAGTAGATATATATCTGCAACCAGCAAAGTGTTGATAATAATCTCAGCCTCGTTAACACGAGGCAGTGGCTCTCCTTTGCGGCAAATTCGACGACGGCGGCTGAGTACTACAATGTAACGTCGTCCAGCATCAACTGGCTCAGTACGGGCTTCCTCTTCGCCTTTGTCGTGGCATCTCCATTTGTGGTGTACACGCTTCACCGCGGAGGTCCCAAGCCGTCCATCATAGCCGCTTCCGTGCTCATCCTGGTGGGAAATTGGATCCGATATGCAGCGACCAGAGTAGGGACGCATGGCAGTTTTGGAGGCCTCATGGTCGGACAGATTCTGACGGGACTGGCCCAACCTTTTGTGCTCGCTGCTCCGACCAGATACTCGGATCTGTGGTTCACCAACCGCGGAAGAATTGCGGCGACGGCTGTGATGAGCTTGGCAAATCCTTTAGGGGGCGCATTGGCTCAACTTATTGATCCTGCTTGGGTACATCAGGCTTCTGACATCCCTAACATGGTCCTGTATATCTCCATCATTGTATGTGTTTTCTAGCCACCTGTCTCTCTGCGCATACTGACAGTTGAAAGGCTACTGTTGCGAGCATTCCTTCATTTTTCCTCTCAGCAAAGCCACCAACACCGAGCTCCCACTCTGGGACTCAGCCAAAGCACCAGCTGATCCCATCCCTCAGGTTTCTCATCTCGTCCCCGGAATTCTGGATGATCATGATCCCGTTTACGTTCTACGTGGGGCTGTTCAATAGCCTCTCGTCCTTGCTCAACCAGATTCTCCAGCCTTACTCCTTCACCGAGGACGACGCTGGTATCGCTGGAGCTCTCCTCATCGTTGTCGGCCTGGTAGCATCGGCTATCACCTCACCGATCATCGACAAAACTAAATCATACCTTCTAGCTTGTAAAGTCCTGGTACCGATCATTGCCGTCTGCTATCTAGCCTTCACCTGGGCCCCACAGACCCGGACCATACTGGCGCCGTATGTCACCCTATCTATCCTGGGCGCGGCATCGTTCAGTCTCATTCCGATCGTGCTGGAATACCTGATTGAGATCACGCATCCTGTTGCCCCGGAGGTTACCAGCACCATCTGCTGGACTGGCGGCCAACTTTTCGGAGGGATCTTCATCATCGTCTCCGATGCTCTCCGTGCCTCGGGCCCTAACGATGGGACAGCTGATGACCATACCGATCGGCCGCCAGGAAACATGTTCAGATCTTTGATATTCCAGACCGTTCTAGCGCTGGTCGTTGTTCCGCTCCCGCTTGCGCTGGGCTGCTGCGGGAGACAGGAGGGCGTGAGGATGAGGAGGGTAGATGCTGATAGAGCAGCGGCGGAGAGGAGGTATACGGCGGGTGGTGGACAGCTTCTGGCTTGATATTCAAAGCTTGATCGTATGTACTTTTGTAATTAGGAAAATCTGATTGGATACTCTATTCGAACCACTATACATCACAACCATGTTCGACCTCTGCTGCTCATAGTGGAAAATATGTGCTTTTGGTTTTTGCAAGCTGTGATTTAAATTCCATCGAGAGTGCCGTCCGTCATCAGGAGCTGGGCTTAGATTAGAAATCCATGTACGCTTCCATTGCTATGCTAGAGAAGGAGACGGCGAGTCTTTCTTGGCATTGATTGCCGGCTTACTGCATTTCCACATCTGGGCCAGGCTCGGTCTTCAGCGTCGTCTCCCGCTTGGTAACGAAATTCTGCAGCCTCTTCTCTGCCTTACGAGCAGCTCTTGTCCGCTTCACCAAATCCACCCGCAACTTCATCAGCCGCTCTGCGATGAGCTTCTCGCACCCCGTGACCAACTTAGCACCGCGGTCTGCTGTCATTGACAAGGCGTCCATCTCACGCATCGCGCCCTGAAGGTCCCCTTGAGAAAAGCAAGGCGGAGTCAGCAGTTGTGCCATATGTAGTAGAAACAGATCCAGATATCCCCAAGCCTCGAACTTTGGTGAGATTAAGGATCCCATCCATACGTTCGTTCATTCGTTCTCAACAAGATCTCGAGAGATCACCTGTTTGGATACGAAGATACCCAGAAGAACATCATAGCATAACATGACAAGGCCGGGGGGTCCACGACGGACGACGGAGACTTACAATACGCATCCAGATCAAAGCCCTCGTAACCATCCGCCTGCAAACCGAACCCAGTCAGCTCAGCCAACCCATCGTCTCCCAATCCCCGTTCCCCTGCCCAGCAAAAGGAGGACCATAGACCACGGGGGAAGACCTTACCTGCGCCAGTGCCTCCTCCAACAACCGGCCCCCAAACGCCCTCTCCTTGGCCGAGTCAGGCGCATCGTACTTGTCCCTCGCCCAGCGGTGATGCGCCTGGCGCACGGTGCTCTGCCACACCTGCCGCATCTGCATGCGCGTGACGAAGCGCTCGCCGTTCAGGCTGTGCACGTCGCGCGCGAACTGCCCATACTTGACGTCCGTCGCGAGGCGCATGAAGGCCGTGTCCCCGTCGACGTAGTCGGGCTTCAGGATCCTGGACTTCTTCTTCTTCTTCTTGCGCTGCTGGCGGGAGGGCTTTTGTGACGGCGCCGCTGGGGGGGTTTGCTTGTTGTTCTTGTCGTTGGCGTGGGCGTGGGCGACTTCGGTTTTGGTTTGCATGGCGTCGGCATCGGCGTCGGTCTCCATGGACGGTGGTGGCGCGGTGTTGAAATCCATTCTTGTTGTGTGTGTGTCTGTGTGTGTGTTTGGGGGGGGGGATGTGTCGGGGAAACGCTGTTGGATGGATGGGGTTTGGTTGGCTGAAAAGAAGTACGAAGAGGTGTTGTATTTTCGTTTCTTGGAGTCAGAAATTTCATGGCCACACGGGTCACTAAATTCACCGTTGCCTTTGCTTAGCTTGCCGGCAGCTGATCTGATCGTGCGATTGGAATCGGAAGGCACGACGGCGGCAATATGGAATGATCTACTCACGTGACCCGATCACCGCGTGGGAACGATTCTTTGAGCCAGGGTGGGTTTTAAAATATTGGCGTATTCCAATATTGATATATATACATATATATATATATATATATTATATATATATATGTATATGTATGTATAGGGTAAGGTAATTCAGTCTCACATTCATTTGTTACCCCGTGTTCTCCCTTTTTTTTTTTTGGCCGCTGGCTTTTGCGCATACTACTGTACCTACTACGAAAGAGGTAAGACCGCTCACAAGGGGGGTTGGAAAGGCTCTTGGAACTCCGAAAGCTGTCCATGTACTCTAGAACCGAGTTGAGGCCAATCTAACGATGGGACGATGGGGGACAAGCCGGTGGTATGTAAACTCCTCTGTTCCTCCCCTTACCCTTACGGAGTTAAAGACGCCCGCGCGAATCAATTGCGTTCTACAAGACCACCCACGATCGAACGGTTGAGGTCTTTTGGCGTGCATTCAAGAGGAGAAGGCTCTCGAGAGGCGCTTAGGCTAGTAGCGCCTGTGCTGGCGATTAGGCCGCATACGGCTTCGGTGTCAGCCCGGTTTCCACAAGTACATACTGGACTTTGTGCGCTCACTACAGAGATACTAAAGCAATAAGCAAACCATCAAGCTAGCTATCTAAGAATGATAAAGATGGATTGGATAAGCTACTTACAAAAGCACGGTGAGCGGAGATTTGATGGGGACCATTTCAACAATATAAAGGATTGATGTATCGTATTCTGATTTTGGAAGTTGATGATGATATTGGACCGACGGTAGCTCGTGTGATGAGAAAGACTTCATACTCGTACGTATTATTCTACAGCTGATAAAGTAGAAGCTAATAGACCTTCGAATTCTTTTGGGCTTGGCTGACGCAAAATCAGCTTCAAATAAGTAAACCAGAGTCATCTTACGTAGGAGGACTTGAGCCGTATACTTGGCTTTGACTATGTCTATACTAATCAGTCTACACCTACTAAGTATGTAATAAAGGCTATATATAATAGCCTGATTAGGCTTAATAGGGACAAACCAAAGCCTTGCACCACTGACAAGTTTCGGCTCTTTTGGATCTAGCGTAGACCTACATTGGAATTAGCTCGAGTCAAAATTTCGAAGCACCTATCTCAAAAGGGCCGCAACCTGCAGATTTCACTTGTAGATCTGGCCCGCAGGTTCTGCTAAAACTCTCTACAACTACTTGCTACTGTGAAGATCATCTTCCGGCTCGGATCAATGTCTTCTTCTTAATGAATTTTCAACTGGTAGCAAGTAGAATGCTGGCGGAGAGTTCAACTAGCAAGAGCCGCCTCGCCCAAATTTAAAAGCCTCTTCACTTTTCCTCAGGTGGAGGATTTCAAGGGCTCAAAGTAGGGACCGACAACAACTTTCCTCCTGCAGTATAAAGTGACAGTTGAAAGCCTAGGTGCAGTTCCGAGTTGCATTCGGTTTTGGGGTGGACGCGAGGAGTCGGGGGGGAAGGGGGGGGGGGGAGGATAAACATGGTGGCGTGACGTGGAACCAACCGTATTTCATTTTTCAAAGATACGAATATTAGGATCTGTGACAAAGATGCTTCTAATGCTAATCTGAGGGGAGTTTTGTTTGGTCCTGCTAGAAAACCTCCAGTGGGGGATGGATACCACACATAGTCTATACGGCACTCAACCCTCGACAAATATGCAGATAGGTAGATAGATGCACACGTTACTTCTCCCCCGCTACCATGGGCCGATGTTCAAATACTCCGAATACCACCGCCCTCGGCGATGTTGTTGACCCGGCACTCCGCCGAGCAGCCTTCCGAACACTCGACTTCTTCTTCTTCGCCCTCCGCTCCGTCTTCAGCACCTCCCGTGCATTCGAGAAGACCATCCCCTCTCACCCTTCTTACGTGTAGATCCTCCACAGAGATGCTTCCAATACCATGCACCAAGCGTTGAAAGTCCCAGTACTCGTCTGGGTCAGATCCAGCCTACCCATCCACCTAGCGCATTCACACAAGTAAAGTCTGCCAAGAAAATATTTATTTATATATATATATATATATTAACTTATCGTTGGTTCTCCCGCGTACGTCTCGCGTTTCTCGGAGGAGAAGGGCAAACGAAAAAAAAAATACTGTATACCTGCACAAGCGCCTCCCCCAGCATCGCCCACTCCCGACCCCCCATCTCGCCGCCGCCCACCGCCCAAACTTCTTCCTCATGCCACATAACAAGGAGGCCGGCGCCACTTTTTTTTTTTTTTTTTTTTCGCAGCGATAGGAGCGGATCATCCAGCTGGTGGCCCCGGTGTTGGTGGTGGCGCGCTTGGTCGTCTTGGTGAGTGGTTTGCGGTGATGGGGGCGGGGTTTTGTTGTTGTGTTTTGGATTGGATGTTGACTTTTCGGAGTGATTTATATTGAATGGGTTGTGTGTGGAGCGTGTCGAGATAGGGGCTGTTGACTTGGGCTTTTGTACTACTGGGACTCTAAGCAGGGACGAGGACGATTCACTAGGTACCAAGTGGTAGCCTGATGACTACACCCCCATAACTCGCTCAGGAGTTCGCTCAATCCAAACGATTTGTTATGATTACCCTCGGACTCCACTCTTTGTGTGCGGGAAGCTCGCAACAACTTTCTGGAGATGAACTTGGCTTCTAGGCAGCCGAGGCTCTCTTCTGCGTGAAATATTGTGGTCCATTGAGGCCTGAGATAATGGCGCTTGCCGATTGTTGACATTGCCGAGTCCCGCTACTGTTCGCGCACAAAATTATAGACAGGGTACCGAAACTATTGTCTTATCTCCTTTACCCAGTTGTTCTCCTATTCTTTCTGTTAACGCCTCAATCCTCCTCCACTCGCTCGAGTTTCAAGATGAGCCGATTGCTCGCTGGACCAACAGTGTACCCGTCCTCTTGTTCAATCCCTTCATCGTTCACAATGTACGTCCGGAAGTTCGAGTACACAGCTGCCAGAATAAGCTTGATTTCTGCCTACGGTTAGTCATACATTGCAAGCCTCGTGGAAAACTTTCCACTCGGAAGAGAACAGCATACCATGGACAGCAAAGTTGCTCCCGACACACATCCTTCCACCACTACTGAAAGCCCAGAACCACCGGTCGCGCTCTTTCTTCTGATGCTCCGAATATCCGTTCTCGTCGTCCAGCCATCTCGTGTAATCGAACTTCTCCGGCCTCGGATACACCTCTGCATTTCGGTGTACGCTGTGTGCTTGGGCCCCTACTCTCACGCCGCCGGGGATACCTGAGAATTTCCCTATTGTGCAGGATGGGTAGGGAGTTTGCCGAGGCTGGCTTCCTGGAATCGCGGCATCGAGACGGAGAGTTTCCATCATGATAGCGTGCAAGACGGGTAGATTGTCCAACTCCTTCGAGCTCGGCAACTCCTTCCTGGACGAGTTCCTGGACAGAAGCATATTTGGCGAAAGAGAGAGAAGCTCAGCGCGAAGTCTGTCTTGCAGCGGAATATCTTGCGAGAGGTGCCACGTTATGTACGTAAGCGTGATTCCGGACGTCTCGTGCCCTGCAGCCAGATGATCAATCATCTCACTCGCCATGCTAAGCTCCGGGTGTTTGAGCAAATCCGTGGCAAGGATGGAGCTGTCTCCTTTGCTCTTGCGTTCCTTCTCGATACCATTCAGCATGGTGCTGAACACCACAGGTTCGTTTCCGGGATCCGTATCTTTCGCTGCAAGACCCTCCATGATGTAAGTCAAGGTCCTATCGCAGCGCTCCTGGGTCCAGGCTTCAAGCTCATCATTGTTATCATCCACCCACTTCGGAACGAGGTAAATCCCAAGTTTCCTGAAGAAGCGATTTAGGCGGGGAAGTTCCTGGGACCAGAAGGTGTATCTCTTACGATTGTAGTATAGAGAGAACCAATGTTTCCGGTATTCCTCTTCGCTTAGAAAGTTGCTGCCGTTTTGGAGACCGAACTGGTAGGCCGTGATGAAGTCCAGGGTTGTCGCATTCCAAATCTCATGAATTTCGATGCCGTTTTGGCAGTTTGGGGGTGTTGAAGCAGCGGTCAGAATGGGAAGGAGACGATCATAGAGGATCACTTGAGCCTGTCGGTGGAGAGCGGGCGAGTTGTGGATGTTGGATTTGGAGTAGATGTTGGAGATCATGCGCTTCTTTGCTGAGTGAGGCTTGGAGTGCCAAGCCGAGAACATGCACGGAACACTAAGTTGACAACATCATATCAGAACAATCACATCCCGAGAGACTATAAGGTAGACTTACCCGTAGTTATCGAATATCGAGTACCACTCTCCCTTCTCAAAGCCCCCAGCATACACCGTCCTCAATCCAGCAAGATCATTGACGCTGAGCTCATTCGGACCCAACCGGATGACTGGGCCATGCTTGAGGTGAGCATCGTGAGTCTTGCGGTTCTCTTGCTTTAGCAATCGAGTGCGCAAGATCCAGAGCGGTGATATTGGAGCCGACCAGTGTGCGTTGGGTATTTTGGATAGTGGGGAGAGGAGCACTGGGTAGATGACAAACTTGTAGATGGCGAGGAGGGAAAGGGTTAAGAGCCCCAGGACAGGGATGCTGATGATCGACATACTGAATCCTGGGAGACCGGCTCAAGAGGGTTTGGAGTAAAGATTGGGGCGAGGCGTCGAGGCGTCTGGAAAAACCCTTTGCCACCTGATATGCTTGAAGAGGTACTTTCTCGCAGCCTTCTGTGTAATTGGAAGTTATTTGTATTTCCTAAAAGAAGAGAGTTTCTTTTTCTCTTTCAGAACGAGCGGTGTGCTTGTTTATGTATCGGTACGAACAGTCGCTGTCCCATTCATTCTTATCGCGATAAGAGTGGAGCCCTGACGCCTTATATACACTAACTATAATTAAGCGACTTTAGATATTGACCTCAAATATCAAGTAATATTAAGTAATAGTACTAAAGCTTCGATTTTCTTTGCGAATATTAGAGAGAATCTGACTGATAAAGAATAATTGAAATAAGAGAGTTGTTATTATAATTATCATTTCGTTTTGATACTAACAAGATGATGGTTTTTTATATTAAGTCCAGTCCCAAGTTTCATGTATCGATGAACGATATTTTAATCCGAATTTTTTTTTTTTTTTGGAAAAAAAAAAAATAGTTCATCATGCTTCAAAATAAATAAATTTTTTTTTTTCAAGCCTTGTCTAGCTTTAATTGCATATCCTATATCCTTCTTCCGGAAACGCCATGTCCTCTTTCGTTAACCAGCTGCCCCGAGCTAGCAAGCTGTAAAAGCCATCAACCTAACTGCCTCGTTAGTCTTCTCCTTCATATCAAAATCAACGATCGTGTTTATAATTCATTTACTTAAATACTTTTTTCTCACTATATTAGTCATGGATACACCGAGTCTCTTAGTAACCTTCTACTCTATTCTTTGACATGCCTATCGACTTCCTTTTCTAAAAATTTTTTCGAGCAGATCATTTACTAGGTATATCGATTCTAAGCATCGCGGTAAGGGAGAAATTAGCGCTCTTCAATTCGCGATAAGAGGTACATTACACACCCTTTTTGGTTGGTGGTACTTGGAACTGGGAAGGTTGGTTTTTTTATGGAATTTCTGGAAGAGAAAACACAATCCTACAACGCCGGAAGGCGCATGACTTCAGAGCTGCCTACCCTACAAAGATCGCTGCAAATTCTGAACTGAGCGGAATGTACGGATTTAAACTGAATGCAAACATTTATGGTTGTGCCTAGGCCTCTGCCTCGCATCGCTTGATTGACAGATTCAGTGCTAGAATACAGAAAGCAATCGAATTTGTCGCAAAACAGTGAGACAGCTTTGATGTTTTTGGAATCGTCCAGATGACTCACGATGAACAGCGATTTTTTTTAAAAAAAAAGAAATCGGAGGTGAATATCCTTTGAGAGGTCCGCCCAAGATCCTACAATCAGTTAACTTTGTGAGATTATATTTCGTCTTGCTGGGAAGCCATTACAAGACCTTGAGGTTTAAAATCTCTCTATCTTCAAACCAGGTAGGAGCCTTTGGAGTTCTCATAAAACGGCAGTTTCGGCACTCCTTCAGGTTGGGCCCTCATAGAACCATCAAATGGACTAATCGAAGCTTCACTTGACGTACTGACTGGCCTTACCAGGAGACTGAAGCGTTCATAGCCAATGCACAGCGAGAAGATACTCTTTTCAAAGGTTTCTTTTGTTTTCGGCCTGGCTGGTTCAACCAGCCGATAAAGCAATACCCTCAATTTTCCGCCTCAGGGTCGAGCTTTCCTCATCCTCGAGGTCGACCTCGATTTCCATCTTAGGCCGGTTCTTATTCAGACCTTCGAGTAGCATGCAGGCCTTACAGATATCCTGACTGGACATGTATCCACAGGTTTTGCAGGTACCTAGAACTTGTCGAGTAAGCTTCTTTCCCTGCTCATTCCTGACATCATTCCGGGCTGCTGCCTTCCTCTTCGTTCTATCGTGTGGTTCACCATCTGTACCGTTTGCCATTAACGAAGCAACATCGACCTCCCGATTCGTGGCCTCTTCATCTTGCTGCAGCTTCTTCTCCATAGCAGCCATTTCTCCTCCAGTCTCCCTACCAGCACTCCCACAGCCACCACCGCCTTCTTCCTCGCCGCCAGCTCTTGATAACGGGACTTTGTGGCTTTTGCATTGACTAATCCCTGTTACCTCCTCCGGTACTAGTCTCGCCATGTCTTCGCCACTACGCACCACATCCAAAATCGCACTGGGTCGAACTCGCTCCAGACTTTTGATCAGGGTCCTTGCACTTCCTCTGAAAGCTTCTGGGCTGTAAATGCATTCTGTGCTGAAGTAATCAAGCTTCTTGTGATGGGCGTATAGCACGATTTCCTTCTCATATGCGTACTTCAAGGGCTTGCTCCGTCTGACTTCGCTCGATTCGCCGCCAGTGACTATACTTGTGCTCCGTGCCAGTCGTGGAAGGTCCCCTCGAAGTAGATTCATCAGAATGGTCTCAGCCACGTCGTCTGCATTATGTCCAGTCACCACATGCTTGATCCCCAGCATTTTTGCGCCTCGGTCTAAAGCCTGTCTGCGGAAGACACCACAGTATGTGCAGTTTCCCTTCTTCCCGATAGTCTCCACGACTTGGTCCATAGTCCACCCATAAAGCTCATCATACCCGACAATCTTCAACTCCATTTCGTACTGCGTCGCATTTCTTTTTACCGTCTCCAGAGAGTCATCTCGGTATCCCTTGATTCCTTCGTCGATACTGAGTAGTACCAGATCCAGACCGTAATTGTAGCGTTCATTGAGGGTTTTGAGTACTGATGCAAGCACAGTGGAGTCCTTTCCTCCAGATGCGCCTATTGCTATCCTGTCCCCTCGTGTAAAAAGTTTCGTTGTGATGATCGTGTGGTGGATCTCCTCCTCGAAGATAGTGATGAAGCATGGTTTACAGAGCTTCTGAGCGTTTTTCGGACGTATTATCAGAGCCCTAGCAGTCTTGCAGATAGCACATAGAGAAGGCGCCATTGTGAAAAAAGTATGGGGTCCATTTCAGCCTCCGTTATTCATCTCGCCTTACACCCATCAGCGTCTGGACGGAGCGGCCAAACATGACTCCGCTTAGCGACACGTGATGAAAGAGCTAGTCACTGCCAAGACTTTCGCGCACACAAATCTGCTTCGCGAAATCTTCTTTCCTCTTCCACTTCCCATCGACAACCACACGACAAATCGCACCACCACAGCGATCCGACAAGATGGTAAGCTACTGACAGAGTTCTATATGAATTGATACGACTCGCTGCCACTCTCGTACCTCTACGAGCAATCGCACGTCGAGATGTGTTTTCCATCAATAACCTGAGGGTTTTGATGATGACTTGGCTTGAGCCTCATCTGCGCAGAAATGCCAGTGAGGTCTCTCTAGAGTTCAAAGAAGATTATTAGTGAACATGTTCGCTGATGTCTCTTTTCTCAATGATAGCCTCCCAAAGCCGGAAAGAAGGCTGCTCCAGCCCCGTTCCCCCAGTCCAAGGCTGGTGCAGGTTCGAAGAAGGCCCCCAAGGTATGACCAACAACTGTATTCCCTCCCTTGTGTCCCCGCTGACATTTTTCAGAACCCGCTCATTGAGAAGCGCACCCGTAACTACGGTATCGGTCAAGACATCCAACCTCGCAGAAACCTTTCGCGCATGGTGAAATGGCCCGAGTATGTCCGTCTTCAACGCCAACGCAAGATTCTCAACCTCCGCCTGAAGGTCCCGCCCGCGATCGCCCAGTTCCAGAACGTCCTCGACCGCAACACCGCTGGCAAGGCCTTCACCCTCCTCAACAAGTACCGCCCCGAGAGCAAGACCGAGAAAAAGGAGCGCCTAGTCAAAGAGGCTACCGCCATGAAGGAGGGCAAGAAGAAGGAAGACGTTAGCAAAAAGCCATACGCCGTCAAGTATGGTCTCAATCACGTTGTCGGTCTGATCGAGAACAAGAAGGCTTCCCTTGTCCTGATCCCAAATGATGTCGACCCAATTGAGTTGGTTATCTTCCTCCCAGCACTCTGCCGCAAGATGGGTGTCCCTTACGCCATCATCAAGGGCAAGGCTAGACTCGGCACGGTCGTCCACAAGAAGACTGCTGCCGTTCTCGCGTTGACCGAGGTCAGATCCGAGGACAAGACCGAGCTTTCCAAGTTGGTCCAGGCCATCAAGGAGGGCTACGCTGAGAAGTACGAGGAGGCCAAGAAACACTGGGGTGGAGGTATCATGGGTGCTAAGGCTGTTGCTCGTACCGAGAAGAAGCGCAAGGCCCTGGAGAGCGCTATCAAGATCTAATTTCTTTCTTGGTGCAGTGTCTATGGCGTTTTTATGGTATTTATGGCTCTGGGAGGGTTGTAGCTAGGCGCAACAAAACTCAGCTGATGATACCATACTTTGGGACTTTATGAACACCTGAAAACTCCACATCCTCCCTCATTTCCGCCATCACATGAGATCTTTCCGAAAGTTCGGAATCCAGTTTGGACGTTCTGCGTGAATCTTTCGTTGCCTTCATGAGTCTGATAATGGATCGTTTGATTTTGGCCCAAGGCCACGTTAAAAAGTAGCTAACATATGTTCAATGGCTAGGAAGTTGGACATGATTGTTCTTCTCCACCCGACCTCAAATGTTGTTCAATTGACTCCATCTTGGCATCTGTCTCCGGGACTAGAGAGATCGCCAGCAAGGATTCCCTAATCTATCCGAACTAGAAGCTGGTGCTACCCTCGCTTGATTGAACGTCAACATCAACATCAACGCCAAAGATTCATTTGCTTACGGCGAGGGATAGATGTACCACTGAGACGAGCTGCGGACCCGGGCCAAGCATCTGCGAATCGATTCTCCTTGGGCAGGCAAGTATGTAGTGCGAGGTATTCGATGTCGCATTGCAGAATCCGTGCGGCCGTCCGCCAGTACAAGATCCTTTTGTGGCTAGCCGGTGGTTGAATGAGTTTGTATTGCTTACTCTGGGGGAGATGCCTCGATCACTGCTCACAGATCGTCCCAATTCCAAATTCTTTCTATGGATCCGTGTCCACGATGACCTGCGTAACCACGCCCGGGAGTAACATCTTGCCCCCAAGTGTGACACCACCGAGGAGGAGCGGAAACTGGTACTCTCCTAATGGGACCGTTGCATGTAGGACGAATTCGACGCCACCCACCAAGGGAACAGAGTGCTGAGACCTCTGCCCTTGTCCCCTCTGCAAATCATCACAAAATAGCAGCAGAGCACGCAGATTTCCACATCCGCTCCCCCACAATCTACTATCGGATCACTCTTCTCAATCATTTAGATATCTCAAGCTCAGGATCCCCATTGATTCCCGCTATTAGAGCTCGTCATCAGCCTCATCGAATTCAGAGGCAAAACTTTGGCAGCGGCCGATTCTCGCAATTTCTCAACACCCTCGTTCCTGCCTCTTAAATAGGTTCGCCACCCTATACACCAGCGCTTTGAGGTCCAGATCTCCCTCACCAACTCATCGTATTCCTCACTTTCCTGAGACTTACCTTACACTCGTTGCAATGGGCCCCAACAGTAAGAGAAAACTCTCATCAGCCACCGATTCCTATACATCTTGATCTTGTAACGCGTGCCACCGCTGTTCCCATGGGCAGGAGGAACGGTACCAAAAATTGCAAGAAAAATATGCTGATGAGCTCCTGCTCGGTGGAACAGAAAGGCACACGTTTGAGTCCGCCTTGAGGTCCAATGAGGCCTGGGCGAATTTCAAAGAGAACCAGAACCCCGCGTTCTTTGAGAAGCTGGCCATCAAGCAGACACCTACTATTCGTATGTCCCCTTCTCCCCAGACCCAACAAATTCATACGATTTTCTGCTCACGACCTATTCATGAACACCCCATGGGAATTGAAGGAGAGAATGGCTAATCATAAAAACACAAGTCTGGCTGGGCTGCTCCGACTCTCGCGTCCCTGAAACAACGCTCCTCGGCCTCCAGCCCGGCGACGTCTTCGTGCACCGCAACATCGCCAACATCATCTCACCTACCGACATCAACTCCATGGCCGTCATCGAGTACGCCGTCGTCCACCTCAAAGTCCACCACATCGTTCTGTGCGGCCACACGTGCTGTGGAGGCGCCGGTGCTGCCTTGGGCGATGCGCGCGTGGGAGGCGTTATCGATGCGTGGATCACCCCCTTACGATCCCTACGCAAGCAGAACGAGGCAGAGCTGACGAAGCTCGGTGACGACGGAGCAAGAGCTGTGAGGCTGGCGGAGCTGAACGTCGAGATGGGGGTGCATAACTTGATGAGCAGCTGGTTTGTCGAGGAGGCGATCAGGGACCGGGGGCTGACGGTGCATGGCGTGCTGTACGATGTTGCAAGCGGTAAGATCCGGGATCTCGAGGTCGGAATTACGGCCAAGGAGTCTTACTTTGGTGCAGCGCCTACGGAGGAGGACCTCAAGGATGCACTCCTTCCGAGTCGGGAGGAGGTCGAGCTTGTGAGGGGCAAGCATGGCATGTTGGTGTTTGAGGGTGAAGGGTCGACGATGGCTGTTAGGTAGCGTCGGCATGGATCTCGCATAACTATTACTTGAGCAAGTGCTGCCCTTGGGTCTGTCATGGAGTATTTGGCGCTGGCGTGTTACAGCGAGTACTCAGGGCTCATGCCGAAGCGGTCAGGCAACGTGCCTGGCAGGTTTGGCTTCTCGGATCAGGGCTTTTTTTTTTTTTTCCTTCTTTTCTTTCTCAATTGCTGTAGTCCGTCCCTATTCCCATCATAGAGTGACAGGGCAGGATGGTGCTGGCAGTATCAAAATCCATTTGGATTAAAGGTCGCATTATCCTAAATACCTCGTGCGGTTCCCTTTTTCTACCTCACCTGTGCTGTGTTCTCGTCGTCTCCTGGCTAGACGTCCGGGGCTAGAAAATGACATCAGCACTGAGCTTGTCAAACCCGAGCAATTTTTGGAAAAAAATCGACTCAGATGCTGAGTTTTTAAATTGAAATATAATCTTTCTAGATCTAGAGTCGTGTCGTGTCCAATAACGCAGTGCGTTTTTTTCATTCATCTATTTGTTATCCCACCTCTCGACCCTCACCTCTAGACACGTTACGGATATTTATTACTCACTGGATGATAAGATTGGCACTGTCAGACTGCGATCCGTGATACGAGCTTGGGCGAGGAGCACCAAGGAAGAAAGAAAAATAAAAAAAAAGGCTTTGATCGTGTTGGGAGGATTTGAAGTCGACCCACATCTGCTGCTGCTGCTGCTGCAAATATCCTAGATGCTCTAAGTATATGTACCTATGAGCTGTGTGCTTACAGTAGGGCGCAAAAACAGAACCCAATTACTGTTTCTGATAAGCTGGGCCCTGAAACGAGTAGTCCTGCTCTATGCGGCTTCGGCCTCTAGCAAATACCCTCAATCCCACTCGAGTTCATTTGGTATTTACTATTGCCATTGCGACATGGCTCTAACCCGGGGTCCAAAATTTGTGGTATCATTTCGTGGTATCATTTCGTGGTATCATTTCGTGGTATCATTTCGTGGTTGTCATCAGTCGTCAACGTGAGCACCTTTGATCATCCCTTGATCACCTGCTCTGGCATCCGCGCGGACGCCCTGCTATCACAGCTATCATTGCTGCTGACCGAAACTCGCAACAGCATCCGCATGGCTGCTTCAATATCGAATAACCTCCGGGTCACTCGAGCGGCCCCTCTTCAGAAATCCCGGATGGTCGTCCCAATGTTCTTCTTCCTTGCAAGCTTCACAACCTCCCCTCCCACCACTAGATCCATCAAGCCCATGCCCACGCTCTTGTAAATAACGTTCCCGCTACTCAACCACCTACTCATCTGATCATCTTTCTCAGTCTGCTCTTGCTTTCTCCTGCTGCTGTCGCCGCTTTGCGAGGACATGCTGTTACTCCTGCTCGGCCGCAGGGAGAACGAGGGTTTGCGATTCAACGTGAACGAGGACTTTCTGGAGGAACTTCTCGCCGGAGGCGAGCCGGGACTTTCGATACTCGAGTCACCGAAGATCTTGGACATGCTTCTGGTACCGTCGAGTGATATGGTAAGGTCTTGGAAGGAGCTGCGCGGGCTGTCTTCAATGGGCGAGTCGTCGTCGTGAGGGTGCATTTGGTCGAGCATGACTAGTTCTCCAAGCTCAACCGTTCGATCGGATCGCACGCCTGCTTGAACCAACTCGCCTGCTTCCCTGAGGCATTCCAGCGTGTCCACTACAATTACGCCACCTTCTTCTGCGCGCTTGTGGAAATGGTGACCGGCCCCATGGACTTTGATAGCTTGCGTTACTACCTCGGGTGGAATCTCAATCATATGAGGCTTGTAAGATCCAATGGCAATGATCAGCCGTGCTCGCATTCTTCCTTCTGTATTCGTCAAGATTGTGTGGTCGAACAGCGGTTCTGTAGAAGGAGTGGTACAGATGATAATGTCCGACGCTCTTAGCCTCTGCTTCAGAATCCGGTCAATCTCGGTGTACTTCAAAGACGCCAAGTCGAATTGGGTATCCACCCACCCCTCACTCCGCTTGGCTGCAATATCGTATGTAACGAACGCTTTCATGATTTTTGCTGCTCGCTCGTTGAACTCGCGGTTGATGAAGTGCACGTTCTTGATTGTGTTTCCGCGCAGAAGGAGGGCTAGACGGATGTGCCAGTATGCTTGCTTTCCGGTTCCGAATACTGTGATGGTCTTTACTTTTGTCCGGCGGAGCATGAGGAGAGAGGATGCGAGTGCAGTTCGGAAAGCAGTGATTTCTTCGGCGTTCAGGAAGCCGAAGGGCTTGCCTTCCGCGCCCATAAGTGTGAGAGAGCCGTAAGGGGTGGCATCTTCATTGGCTGATGCCGAAGGAGCTTCATCTGGATTTGAGGGGGGACAGGCGAGGGTGACAACTGTATAGTTGTTAGTAGATACTTTCTTGAAGAGTTGAGAAGTAGAGCCTCACCTTTGATTGCAATAGAGGAGGAGCTGATCGACGGCATAAACAAGGTAGTCGTCGAGTTCCCCGCGGATCCTATGACCGTTCGTTTGGGCTGATTGTCTGCACAGGCTCCAGAATTCGTAGCACCAGTCGCATACTCGTGCATGGCGTTTCTCATGGCGATCTGCAAAGCTGCGACATCATCTCTGGTCAGGTTGTGTAGGATCTCCTTGACATTGTCGTCGCTGAGGATCGTGAGGGGCATCTTGAGAATTATACCCGTGTTGACGGATCTCTTCTAAAACGTTTGTGTATGCGGGCATGTTAATGTTGTGGACCAAGACTTTTCGAAAATCCGAGAGTTCTGAAGACGTGCTTATCGCTTATCTTATCATAGGGAAGAGCCGGGCATATGACGGGCCGGGCTATTAAGGAAATGGGTTGAAGTTTCGTGAGCTTTTCTTGACTACAACTCTGATCTGGTTTTTCGACTGACAAGAAGGGAGTATCTCTAGTATTTATGCTACTCGAATCCACGCAACCGACCACGTCGAATTGCTGTACCTGCAATCATTTAATTCCTAGCAGATACATCAATGCAAAAGCCATGTTGGTCAAGCTCAGATTGGTCTTCAAAGCCTCGTACATTGTGCATGACCTTTTCTTCCCCATCTACCCGCTCGAGATTGGTTGATATTATGTCAGGTCTGAAACTTTATAGAAGAAAGTAAAGCCGTTCGTCTTGATAAAGCGGAGAAACATATCCGACCGACCTATCATCAGAGCGATCTCCTTCCACGATTCGAACAACGGCCTTACATGCGAGTTGAAAGTTCCGTCAAAGTCGTTCTCAACAACGATAAATGCAGCAAGATTCTTGTGTAGTTACGCATGGCGCACTGTAGCCTCAGTTTCCTTGGTCTTGTTTTCTTTTGTCCTTGATATCGAGAGATTCATCCAGATATAGATCTTTGCTTCGGCATAGTTTTCATGATCAAGTAGGGAACCCACGATATTATTTGAAAGCTTTGCCACGAGAAAGGTTGCCGAGGGTGTAGTCATAGCAGATCTACTTTTAAATTATAGTCTCAATATCAACGTATTGGTGCTTGCACATCTCCAAACTACGATTTCAGCCTTCTCCTCCCCCTTCCCCCCTCATTTTTTCCCGGAGGGGAGCACAATGAACTTGAGTTCCTTGCCGCCCTCGAGACCGAGAGAAGAAAGGAGTCCATATCTACTACTAAGTGATTCTCCCCGTCCCCAAGTAAAGCATCCCAGATCAGCTGATGCAGTCAGTAGCAAGCCCAAGACACGCATCGAGCATCGATCAGGAGGTGCTGGACCTGAACATTGCCACCGATGAAAATACCCAGAAACAACATGAAAGTATTCAATCTGGTCGTAACCACATCCTGAGGAACATAAACCATGGTAGAACAGAGACAAGCAGAACATTTCCGTCCCTCTGCCAATACAGCATCGTAGGTTTTCCCCTAACGCCCTGAACCCTCACGATCACTCCTCTCTACCTCGTCGGCCTACCAGTTGAATGACCATCATATGTGCCTCCTTACAAAGACGACCTTCAAAAACGTATCCTTTCCCACTTGAGGCCTAACATTATGACTCCGAGCTTTGAGACGTACGATCGACGCGTCCTTTTCAGAGAGGCGGGCGGTGTTGGTGCTGGCACTGGTGCTGAGATGTTGCACGTCTCGGTCCAGGGTTGCTATGCACCGCGCTGCCAGTGTTCGATGCGGTTTTGATTGGAAATTGGCGATATGGACGATTGGAAATTGAAAGTGTTGAGACCGACGATACAGTACAATGCAGCTTCCCCAAAAAGAACGGTCATTGCTAGATTTCCAAGACCTCACCCCAGTTTCGAGGAAGAGCGACATATATTTGATTAGAAAGTCTTCAAATGTACTTATTCAGCACGATCATTCAATTCTCTGGCATAGACTTGCATATTTCGAGAGTTTCTGGTTCGTTGAGGATATACATTCGGCCATATGCTAGGTATCCACCGATGCTTTAGCCCATGCCTCAAAAGTTAACCCCCCCCCCCCTCGTCACTGTCCACCGATGCCCATGAGATATGTCCTTTCCAGGGCAATACCTGGTCCACCGAAAAACAAGTGACCAATAAAGCGGCAACGCCTGATTACCTGAACTCACTGCACGTCAAGAAGATCCCCGGCGAAGACCACCACCATAACCATCATCAAACAAGCGCTGCCACCCTGTAGGGTTTTTTGATGCAAATGTGATCGAGAAGTCGTTAGAGATCGAGAACTGGATCAACAACTCGAAGGATCTGTGTGCAAACGTTAATTAGAATGAATAGAGCATCACGGGACGGAAGGAGGATCTACCTGGATCTATCTAAACGACTCCCGAGCAATAAGCGGCCAGCCAAGTCGACTCCGTGAGCAAGCGGTACTCAACCCAGATCGCGGCTCCAAAGAAGGCCGAGAGGGTGCAAAAGACACACAAGTTGTGAACATAATACGCAATGTAATGTTCCACAGTGTCAATCATGCACCACGTACCGACGGGGTCCGCAAGGCGCAGACTCGACTCTCGAACCGGGAATCCCAAGATATGGCGGACGAAGCGACAGATTTTGACCAGGATAATGGCCGTCAGAAACGTCGCTATGAAGGACAGAGCGAGGGCAAAACCGCGGCTGAAGATGGTGACCTCCTCGTAGTAGGTCGTCGCCGGAGTGACAGGGAGCTCGCTCTCGGGGATGCTGCGCTTGATGAAGGTAATGGTCGCGCAGTAGTTGATCGTCCCGAGAACAACGATGAGGTCGGATATCGTCCAACGCCTGAAATAGCTGCTGATGGGTTTCGGAAACTTGGACGTGCTGCCGCTCTCGAGGTCGACGACATCATGCTCGTATGGCATCTTCTCGTTGGTGTTCTCGACCGCGTGCTGCTGATGGTTGTCTACCAGAACAGTCTTTTCGTGAACAGACATGATTGTCGATTTGGGACTTGTAAATTAGGGGTGAAAGTTGACGGTATTTGTAGAGAGGAAGAGTTCGAACGCTAAACGGTTAAATGAATAAAAGTTGCGTGGTGAAGCTATGTTAGTGCCCGGCCATGTCACCTGAGGGCGCTTCGGAGGCAGAAAAATGGAAGCAACCTCATCAATAATCTTCCTTGATCGCTATGGCCTATAGGTAATTGAAGCAGATCAGAGAACCGCCCGAAACGAGCCTGCAATCCCGCACCGCCATATTGTTAATCTTCATCGTGTCGTTCCAGAAAGATTTCGGCGGAATGTACAACGGATCGATGACTTCCACCTATTCGATTCCCGCGGATATGAGTGGAAAGGTAGATTTTCATTTTTGCTTGATAGGAGTTGGACGAGGTACCGTCTAGATGGGCGAGAGTGAGTAACCCGGCTCTTGGGTTGAGTATCTGGAAAGCCGGGAAGAGAGTGCGCATCTTGTCGCAATTTGTTTCTTCGAATTCAAGAAGTGTCACGGTCACAATAAGCAGCCTTTCAATAGCAAGCATCATGCTCATCATTTTGTGCGATCTCAAGTCGTCCAGTGATCATGAATTATCACATCTTGCAACCGTGTCAAACTGCTTGTTGCTTACAAGAATTTCCGTGGCCCTCTCTCCACCCTCCTATTTCAAGATCTCGACAACTTCCAGCAGCCAATGACCAACCCAGAAAGTATACCACAGGACGAATTCCTATAGTTTCATTGGCGTACTGCAACCCAGTCAACCCATCGCCCGAAAAACCCGTCCAGCCCGTGCCGTGGTCCTCGAAGCGACCGGGAACTCTTCCTGATTTTCTCTGATATCGTTCAGCATCAGTTTTTACTCTTCAGTTTGAAACCCAGATAGACGATGCTTAATATCTTTCGCAAAGAAGGACGGAAAAAGACGCTTACCTGGAGTATTACTTCCCAACAGCGCAAATCATAAACCAGAAGAATTCAACACTGCCCAAGAATACGACAGTGACGGCCAAAACAGAGAACCCAAAGACCACCATATATATGTCGTCCATCGGCTGTATGAGCTCTGCGGATGGAGCTGGATATCCTCGAAATTTGCGAACCAGTTGGTACACCTGATACACTTGGTCGGAAATGAAGGTGGTAAGAATGACGGCGAAGATCACGGCCATGGATTTGAGTCCGACTCTCTCTAGACCCGAGTAGACTGCGCTGAACGTCTTGTTGGCTTCCTTAACCTGCATAGCATGGTACCACACGAATGTAAGCCATGCCCCTAGAGCTAAAGCGTAGAACTGGTATCTCAAGCCCCATAGTTTTCCGAACTCGCCATTGATGCCAATCTTGAGACCGAAGGTCAGCCTTGACTGCTCGACTCCAATCTGTGCAAAGTACCGATCATTCTCTGGGTTGCGGTTGGCGTCACCGAAGCCGAGGAAGTCGGATTTCTCCGTGGCAGCAGCGACGATCGATGCGTTGTTGACGAGCACGGCTTTGAGAAGAGAGCAATTCGGATCGTCAAAGTGAGACTCGGTGATAGATTGGATTCGGCTCAGTTCCCAAGGCTGTTGGCTTAGAGCCATGTTCAACACGTTCGCGGTCTCGATATAAGATGGTACACGGGGTCGGGTCTCAATGTCGAGATGGATTGATTTCGGTGTTAGTGTGACTGGGAATCGATATAATGGAGAGTCAGATCCGGATATGTTTCCGTCATTTGTAGACTCGAGGAAAAGTTTTGGGGCCGCTTGTGATGCGGTCTGATCGTTCGAAGGCGCGGGAGGAGAGTATGGCGTTGGGAGGGCTCCTTGGGACGAAAGTTCGAGGCCAACTCGAGCCTAGCTCAATCGCGAAACACCGTCCTGTCGCCATGGTGACGCGCTTCTGGCTCTGCGAGTTTGAAGGTAGGTCCTCTTTATCTTCCCGGAAACTATACGGAGGCATATTCCTGCTACATCGTGCACATCGCCCCGAGGACCTTACTACCACCGAAAGAGCGAGAGATCAGAAGTCTGCGCTTGAGTTGAAAAAAAAAAGACCTCGTCAAGCTGGCGCAATAATATAATGGGCCACGTACGGTGAGTGTAGCCTCCAGCACTTGAGTTGTATGCACCCGTCGGTGACAGTCGCGATATGATTAATTGCTTTGCTTTCCTTGAATAAGATGTGTGACGAGAGGAGATGTGATGGATGGATGGGTGATGCGAATGAAAAGGAGCAGACTACCTATCCAGACAAGATAAGTTGATGAGGTGATAGATAACAGTGCAACTAATTGGCACAACTGCAGCGCCGCAGATACTGCCTATAGGTTCGCCACTGTATATGGAGAGGTAGCGTTGTTAAGAAATGTAGTAAAAAGGGGGGACGGTGAGAAAAAAGCTTGCAACTTACTTAAGCTTGTAACTTGGGAGTTCGAACTGAGAGCTATCTGGTCCAGCTCGGATTTGTATGGTGCATCTTAAGTCTTGAGTTGCAGGGTCAGATGCACCCTTTACAAGATTTACGTCCACAAGCCAAACAGATCGGTCAATTCTTGCATCTTGGTGTGCAACTTAAAGATGCAAAAATATCTTGATAAGGAGGAGTGCATCTTGGCCTGAATCTGCGAGCCAAAACAGGCTCTTAAGTCCTTACAATTCAAAGCCCTATCTCCACATCAGCTTTCGCAGCCTCTCCTTCTCCTTCTCGCCGCCGAAGATCATGTCGACGGCACTTCGCGCAAGCTCACAGATCTCCTTATTGTCGAGGTTGAAGTGCTCGGCGATGAGTGCGTACTCATTCGAGAGGGCACTGCCAAAGACTCCAACGTCGTCCGTCTATCAGCTTTCGTTAGCACATCTTTCCTTTCGACACTCACGCTCCCCAACAAGCAATATCCTAGGAGTGTGCGGCACTGACACTCAACGCAATGGGACACCCCTTTCCCTTCCACCACCCGAAATGGTGGTCCCCGTACGTCCCCGGAATCATCTTGGCGTGCACATTGCAACTCAGACATAGCTCCAGGCCCAGCCCCCTCCTCACAATCTCCTCCCTCACATCCTCCGGCACATGGATCACATGGCCGATCCGCTGCGGTCTGTACTCCAGCAGAGTCCACAACTCCTCTTTCGTACAAGAAGGCGCCTCTGAGAAATGGATGGTGATGGGTAAGTTCTCGCTTATGGCGAGTTGGAAAGCGGGCCGAAAGATGGAGACGTCGCCTACGGTGGGGTCACCGCACTGGAAAACGGAGGAGTCAGTATTTGCCACATGAGAATGTTTCAAAGGAGGAGGGGGGAGGGGTTCTGAGAATCTCTCGGGATCAGAATGGATCCATAGGGAAAGATTATCATTCCCGGGTGTCTTACCAGGTCGATGCCAACGACGCCTTGGGAGCGGTATTTCAGGGCGAGGGCGACAACGGAGAGGGCTGTAGCTGCATCGTTGCGGCGATCGATGGAGAGGATGAGTTTTGTTTTCATCTGGGGGGAGGGGGCGTTTGTGACGGAGAGAATGAGCCGCACATAATCATCTTTGGTGATGTTTGCGGAGGGCATTGCGCGCGGGGTTGTGCGAAGCTCGAGGTAGGCTAGGCCGTCTGCTTCGAAGTCGGCGAGGACCGATTTGGTAGTGTATAATAGGGATTCCTGTGGTCAAGATTAGCTGGGGCTTCATCGCAGGGAAGAAGCGAGGAGGTGTCGAGAGTATTGGAGACGATAGGTCTTTGCAGTTGAAAAGTCAGAGAGATTGGAAAGGCAATATACGCACACATACCTCGTCATTGCAGAGATTGTAGATGTATTTCGAGAAAAGGGGAAAGAACCTGCGAAGAATCAGATGGTAGCGAGACCAAAAGTAGTGGTTTGAGCCACTTCCAAGCGAAGCAAAACCCTGTGTTGTTTTGTGCCCCTGATCCACTCTCGGGTGGAGCCTGTTCGCAATACGTAGAAAAAAAGGAGGAAAAGAGGAAGATTTTTAACTCACATCTCCAAGGCGTAGTCAAACTTACCGACCGGCATTTCAATTAAAGGGTCTTCAAGCGTTGTCTCTCCGCGGCTCTTCTTCTGCACCCACACCTCATGAAGACATTCCCGACTACTCAGCAGATTAGAACAGATTCCTTCTGAAGACTCCCCCGACCCCAAGTCATCGAAACACGAGGGTAATGGAATATTTTCGCTGACCTGATGCTTCCAGTCAAGTGGGCGTGTAACTATGATCTTCTCTCAGCCCTGTGTCAAACTCTCAGACAGCATGCGAACTCGTGAAGGCCTGATTGGATTGCGCAACTACGGCTGCAAGCAGGCGGGAGCGTGTATCATTGACGACTGACGGCGGCTGCTTACCTCTACCTTGGGCAAAGCGACATAATCCATCCTGGTAGCTGTTGAAGATTCTGGGGATATCCGAGGTGATGCTTCGAGAGATGAGAGTCTGCGAACCGTCCTGAGACGAGGATATTGGAGCACTGGTATGATGGAAAGTGGGCGCCGCATCTTTCGAAACGAGATGCATCGCTCCTGATAGCAGAGAAGAAGTGAGGTATGGTATGGTATGCAAGAAGCGAATATCTTGGCCGAGTCGTAGTCAATAATGACAATCCCTTACTTGCTGAAACTCTTACAAGTTACCGACCGCACTGGTGTTCTTAACTCTAACAACGAGAGAAACAAGAAATTTAGACAGGTATAGATTTCCGGCTATATACTCCTGTTATTTTCCCGAAAATAAATCTTAAAGACGATGGGCAATTGGTCCATGGCCGGCGTATAAGAAGGCACCTACCCATCTTAGTAAGCGATCTGTACTCGCCAGTTTACTCTACTTAGTAGTAATTCCTGTTGGAACAAGGATACTGGGAAATCATATCGATCTCGATCCCTTGGTCTGAGTAATGTCAAGTACAAAGCTGGAGTGTAAGCATATATTCCGCTTTCAGGAGGCCCACTTTCCACATGATTGAGTTTCTTTCAGCAAAAGCAAAAACAAATCAAACCAGATCAAACAGAACAAAACGCAACCAAAACAAAGCTGGCTTCGAGAGTGAGCCAAACCACACATGAACGTGGGCCAAGGGGGTCAAGCAGCAGTAGCAGTACTGTCCATAGCGGCGGAAGCTTTCTGCACGGCCTGGGAATCATATGCATCCGAAACTAAATTATTAGTTAATACTGAGGTACTACGTAGATAGACCATGGCAGCATGCAGCTAGCTGCAAGGCTGTAGATAGAGAGTGAGTACTTGTGAAGTCGAGAATTCAAGATATCGAGATGTCTTGCTCGCGGATGGAGATCGCTGCCCAAGAGACGCCGAGTCGCCCAGCAGCAAGAAGGGGCGGTGAATTGCCTTGGTTGGATAAGCAACCTAGTCATGTGTGTAAAGGTCAAATTTCTTTGCGTTTTGATAGAGGCTCAAGGCGGATATACGTAGTATGGTCGATAAAGATGGGTAAAGCCAGTGGTGCCAGACTACAGTACCGGTAAATAAATGCAAAGCAGGGCACAGACCTACTGCTCGAGTCGGTACCGGTAGATACAGTACAACCAGGGATTTTTACCAGGGGAAGTAGGTTTTTCGAGGGGGTCGGAGTAGACTCCAATATTACCTAGGTAGTCGCATCGGTTCTTGCTCAGTAAGCAATCTGTGGGTGGGAAACTCACCGAGAGAGGGGGGAGGAGATAGGGAGAGAGAGAGATGTTTAAATATGATATATATGTATATACGTATATGTATATAATTTCATATCCAACTGAAATGCGCACATAAATATATGTTATAAGTGATATGAATGATATAAGGTAGGTACGGCTTCGGGGCTGGAGAATTGGCTCGGCCGGCCGAAAGGTCTCCCGAAAAGCAGGCCAAACCCAAAGAGGTCAATCCATCGATCGGTCAAATCCAGCAAATCCAGCCTCCGATCCAACTTCCGAGCCGGCACCAACCTCCAACCCAACGACCTCTCTCTCTCTCTCTCCATTCCACTCCCACTCCCACGGCACTCCACATTGACTTCCTGTCACTCCCCTTCCATCAATTTGCTCCGGCGCCCTCATCAAGAGATCTCTTCGTCTTTCTCCTCCTCCTCTTCCTCCTCCTCCTCCTCCTCCTCCTCCTCCTCCTCCTCCTCCTCTTCCTCCTCCTCTTCTCCTCCCACAACACAACCGCTCGCTCACTCACCAGCGGCAGTGCTGCTGCCAAGTAGCCCCGGGGAGCTATCCTCTGTGTGGGCGCAACCCCCCGAACCAACCACCCTCCCCCTACCCTACCCTACCCTACCCTACCCTACCCTAGCCTCATCTCAATCTCAATCTCCAATCTCCAATCTCCATTCTCCAATCTCGAGCTTCCTCACAACCCATCAATCCTTCCACAACCCGCAACCCACAACCCACAACCCGCAACCCGCAACCCGCAATCCGCAGCTCGCAACAGACCGCCATCATGTCGAACGACGTCTCTCCAGATCAGATGCAGGCGCGCATCCAGCAGGCCCGTCGTGAGGCTGAGAACCTGAAGGACAGGATAAAGCGCAAGAAGGATGATTTGGCGGATGGCACGCGTAAGTAGATCCGATCGCTGCCGCTCTACAGCGTCTTGTCAACCTCGAATCCAACTGCCATGATTCCTGCGGTACCCCAATTTCGATTGTGCTGACCATGATGGCGCAGTCTCGAATATCGCCCGCAGTCAACAAGAGGCCCTACCAAAGAACACCATGATGAAGACCAGAAAGACCTTGAAGGGACATCTCGCGAAGATCTACGCCATGCACTGGTCGACCGATCGGAGACATTTAGTATCAGCATCGCAAGACGGAAAGCTCATAATCTGGGATGCATACACCACGAACAAAGTCCACGCTATTCCTCTACGCTCATCTTGGGTCATGACTTGTGCGTACGCCCCGAGCGGAAATTACGTCGCGTGCGGTGGTCTGGACAACATCTGCTCTATTTACAACCTCAACTCGAACCGCGAAGGCCCAACCCGCGTTGCACGAGAACTTTCGGGTCACTCTGGGTACCTCTCCTGCTGCCGATTCATCAACGACCGTAGCATCCTCACCTCCTCCGGCGATATGACCTGTATGAAGTGGGATGTTGAGACGGGATCCAAGGTCACCGAGTTCGCAGACCATCTCGGTGATGTTATGAGCATCAGCATAAACCCAACAAATCAGAACACCTTCGTCTCCGGTGCCTGTGATGCCTTCGCCAAATTATGGGATATCCGAGCTGGCAAGGCCGTCCAAACATTTGCTGGTCACGAGTCCGATATCAACGCCATCCAATTCTTCCCAGATGGCCACTCATTTGTCACCGGTTCCGACGATGCTACCTGCAGGCTGTTTGATATTCGTGCTGATAGAGAACTGAACCAATACGGAGTACGTCGTCTCCGCATCTTTCATAAATTTATTTTCTTGCTCTGGTGGGAAACATGCTAACAGCAAAATCACAGAGCGAAGCCATTCTTTGCGGTATCACTTCTGTCGCCACTTCGGTTTCGGGTAGACTCCTGTTCGCTGGCTACGATGACTTCGAATGCAAGGTAGGAGATCTTGCATGCAAATCCCCAGATCTCATGCTAACGTTAAAAACAGGTGTGGGACATCACTCGCGGAGAGAAGGTGGGATCGCTGGTGGGCCACGACAACCGGGTCAGCTGCTTAGGTGTCAGCAATGATGGAATGAGTTTGTGTACTGGATCATGGGATTCATTGGTACGCGAAGCTGCTACGTTGTTTTCCGAGTATTCTGCTGACTTTAGCCCCCTTCTAGCTCAAGATCTGGGCTATGTAAGAGCTCCCAACTCGAAAATTGCGGACGGTATCCCACATTCGAGCTGTGCAGAGTAGCTCACTCCGAATCCCCTGACATCCGACCACTTCTACAATCTTCTAATCAATCACCCATCAAAACCCCGATACCCCCCCGCCTTGTTAATCTCTGCAACTCGGCGTACCTGGACGAAGTTACGATTCCACGCATGCCCTAGCAATGTAGTGTTCGTTACTGAGCTGGCGATCCGGCCCGAGGGAAACGACCCGCTCAAGATGGCCCGCGATCCCCGATTCTGTGCCGAATAATTCCCCTTTTCACAACATTCTTGTTCGTATGGGGTGGTGTTGAATGATTTGCTCGTTTCTTGCGCGCCTTAAGCCCGGGCTGTTTTGCGATGATATCCTTCCGAGACATCTGGTTCCCCGGCCTTCCCCTCTCGCATCGCCTTTCTCTATTTCCTCGTCAACATGTTTCCGTAATTTCATTTTTTCGGTCAATCAAACCCAAAAGCTCTGTCTCGGGTGGTCTCGGTGGGATAGCAGCATCTTCTGGGCTGAGTCAACGGAGGGGGGTTTGCGCGCCAGGAAGGTTTTTTTTTTCTCCTTCATCTGGCTCGTCTCTTCCTCTTTGTGTCTCCCGATTCAATGTCCGTGTTAGTGTTTCGAACGTCGATAAAGCTCCAGGAGGAGAGGTTGCCCTAGCCCTTGTTAGTCTTGGGTATATGTAGATATATTAGGTGGCGGCTGGTGGGAACATGTGGACCACGCGGGCAGCGGAAGATGGAGTCTTTATTTCGAGCTTTTGCTGCCTCCTCGCTATCCATCTGGCAGTTTGGCGTCGGTCCATCATGCGCAGCTTGTACAAAATAGCCCGGATGAATACTGCATAGAAAATGAGCACTCGCTCCTTCTCATGATTGTCGTGTGAATCGGGCTATTCTCATTTGGAAGGAGTTACGCCGCTCCTGGGGGCAGAAGGCCCGGCGACTCAAAGAGGTCGATCTGTTCTGTTACACGTCCCTAGGATGCTACGAATCGGTCGGCAAGTACCACATGAAGTGCCTCTCTCTCTGTCTCTCCCTCTCCCTCTCTCTCTTTGCACGGCCAGTATTACGAATTATAAAGTGAGTGAGTAGGTAGGTAGTCACTCTTATTACCAACTCCGAATCTCAAATCTCAAACTCTCAAACCCTCAAACTCTCAAACTCTCAAACTCTCAAATTCTCAAACTCTCAAACTTTCAAACTCTCAGACCCTCGAACTCTCAAACTCTCAGACCCTCTCAATTCCTCTCAGACGTGCGTGACTCCTCGTTTTTATCTTCTTCTTTCCTCTTTCTTCATGATGCATGATCGTTGCTGACATGGTTCTCCATGCACGCACCTAGGGACCATCTATCGCCGTGACAGTTCTACCCACCGACCTACCTCGGTATTCTGCACGCTTGGATTGGATATCTGAGGGTTCGAAGGGAGAAGGCGCTGTCTGTCTGAGTTGTGTACTACGTATTTGTTACTCGGCTGAGGCAGGGGGGAATGCAGGAGGTGATGTGAGCTTAAGTAGGTAGGTACGTATGGATGTATGTACGTATGTATGTAGTATGTATGTATGTATGTATGTATGTATGTATGTATGTATGTAGTATGTATGTATGTACTACGTATTCATGTACTACGTACTACTACGTACGTCCCAGGCGTAAGTAAGTATTACCCCTTAAGGGTAGGGTAGCCAGGGGGTTTATAATGGGAACTAAACTTTTGAGGCACCCTCGAGGGGTAATACTTACGCTTGTACCGTGGGTATGTACTACGTATGTATATACTACGTACGTATGTATGTATATATGTATGTATGTATGTATATATGTATGTAAGTATGTATGTATGTATGTACTACGTATGTATGTATGTATGTAAAGAGAGAGAGGTCAAATCTAGCACCCGGCAGCGCTTAATCATCATCATGATTGTTTACTTACTATGGTATGAATAAAGCATCTCTCTCTCTCTCTCTCTCTCTCTGAAATAGGGGGTCCGTGATCATTATAGCTGAAACCGTCTAACTTTGATCTCACCGTTTCGTAATCTTACGTACCTATTTCGTATCTGGCTGTGTGCTGCCGCCGGGCCTAAAATTAGTACCGAATTCCACGACAGATCGGCTTCGAAATCCTTGTCCGAGCCAAAGATACGGATACGTACGAAGGTATGTGTAAAGTCAACAGAGAAGGGAGAGACTCGAGAGGAAGAAGGATGGGATGGGATGGATCCTTGCAGGTGTCGAGTGGCGCGGTTGGAATGCGTGCGTGCGTAGGTACTGCGTAGGTAGGTACGTAAGTCTGAAGTTTCGTTTTGTTTCGATTCGGGATATACGTAGTAGGAGCGTTTGTTTGGTGTTTGTTTGGCACTTGCGTTAAGTGGTTGACATTTGGACGTTTGGATATTTGTGTATATATATGTTTGTATGTAAATAGGTATGTTCATATGTATATATACATGTGCATATATATAGATACCCGTATATGGATACCCGTCTATACGTAGTACGTAGTAGATAGGTATACACTTGGATACACATATCGATCTAAAATTAGTCCCATGGCGATGTGTACGTACCGACCTCCATGTTTCGTCGTACACGAAAAAAGTCAAAAGTCACAAAGCCCCTTTCTAATTCAGATGATAGGGGCTCGAGTGGCCATCTGAAACGTCAACAATTAATCCCAAGGAACTCTAAAACAATCCTCGTCGCTTCTCCCGCGCCTTCTAGAAGAGATCAACCGTCTCCCGGTGTCCCTCGCCTCCCTTGGCCCCATCATCTCTCCAAATTACGGACTCAACAAGACCCCTTATCCATCCCTGAAAGTACACACATAACACATACGCACACCACCTTCACCACCCACAAATAGTACACACCTCCCCCCCTCCTGGCCCAGGGAAGATAAAAAAAAAAGATAAATGGCAGCCAGAACCGCCGCCGAGGAAGAATTCGACAGCATCCTCCAGAAAGCCTCCGCGCACGCCAAATTACCCTACCACGCCAGCGACGTCCACGACTACGCCCACGACGCCGAGCACAGCGAGGACGAGGCCGACGAGGAAGCCGCATTCCTGCAGAAGCAGGTCGCCGAGAACATGCGGATGATGCCGTCCCTCGACCCCCGCGGGGGGCCCATGTACCTCCCGCACCGCGACTTCGACAGCGGGCGCACGACGGGCGTCAAGGGCGTCATTGCCGACGCCCGTAGCTTCGAGGAGGCGCGCAAGCAGCAGAGCGGGGGCGCGTCGTGGAAGAGCCGGGCGCGGAGTGGCAGTCGGCGAGGGGCTCGAACGAACGAGGAGAGCGCCGGCGGCAACAAGCGCGCGAGCACCTTCAAGGACGAGGGGGAGGGCAGCGACGACGAGGACGAGGAGGAGTTTGTGCAGCGGTGGAGGATGCAGCGGCGGGAGGAGCTCCGGCGGGAGGGCAGCGATATTCGGAATCGGAGGACGAGTCCGAGTATGAGGCGCTTTGGGCGCTTTGATGAGGTGGACGCTCTGGGGTACCTGGATGCTATTGAGAAGGTGACGCGAGACACGGTTGTGTGTGTGTTTGTTTACGATCCTGAGGTACGTTTCCCCTCCCCTCTCCCTCTCCCTCTTCCTCCTCCCCATTTCCCCTTACCTTCACCGGTCCCTCCCCCTCTCCTCTGCCCTCTTCTCCTCCGTCCCGAGAAACAACGTACTGACGAAAAACCCCAGTGTGCCGTCTCCCAAGTCATCTCCGACGCCCTCACCCCCCTCGTCTCCAAAAACCCCGGCATCCACTTCGTCCGCATCCACTACGAAGCCATCGAGTTCGACAACGCCGGCGTGCCCGCCATCCTCGCCTACAAGAACCAGGGCGACCTCTTCGCAAACCTCACCTACATCATCGACCAGATCCCCGAAGACACCCTCTTCGACACCCAGGCCCTGGAGACCATCCTGCGCAACAACAAGGTGCTCTGAAGCGAAAATCAATAAAATGAATCGGCTCTTCGATGGCTCGTTCGGTGGTCACCCTCGTTGCGAGAACTCACTCACGAACGTCCTTGTTGTTGTGGTCCTCTTTTTTTTTCTTTTTTTCTTTAATCTCATCTTATATATATCAAAAAGTTTTAGACGACCCCAGATAACCAGGCCTTTCTTTTCGGATCTTCTCTACGCTGTTTATCCGGGGGGGGTTCCTTCTTCATTTCATGCTGGCGCTCTCGGTCTTGGGGTTCTTGCTCTCGGTCTTTGGGTGGGGGAGGGAAGGGGGGTTTGGCTCTCGGTCTAGGTTTCCCGGCGTTACTTACTTACTTACTGCCTTGCCTGTATGTCTATCTATCTGTTTAGTCTCTCTCAATCACCCTCACGGTGAATTGCATTGCATTGCTTTGTACTGTAACTGTACCCATGTATATATATATATGTATATCACATGTATGTATGTATGTATATATGTATGTATCATTACCATGTACGATATATACCTACGATATCGCGTAGCGCGCAGCCTCTTTCTTTTTCCCCCCCTCTCCTCGCTCACTCACACACACACACGTACTCTCTCTCTCTCTCTCCCTCTGCCTCTCTCTCTCTCCCGCTCCATCTCCCCTATCCCCTATCCTCTATACACTGTATACAACTAACTACATCTCCTTCCCCCTTTTCTGCACGTGAGAGAAGAAGAAGGAGTAGAAGAAGTAGAAGAAGCTCTGTAAACCAACGCCCAGTGCAGCCATTGGTGGGTGGTTGGTGGGTGTATGACATAAACATGAGTGCGAGCTTAGATAGGATAGCAGAGACAGAGACGAGAGAATATAGACAGAGGCGGAGAGAGATACAGACACAAAGCCTGGACCTCGGGTGGGGTGGTACGGGGTACGGGGTACGGGGTGCGGAAATGCCGCTGGTGCGTGCATCCTGGCACGGACAATCAATCACTCACGCACGCACCCTGCGAAGCGAAGCGAAACTGGATACGGAGGCAGGAAAAGAAGGAAAGAAGAGCATAGAGCATGTGTGTGTTCCGGCGATCATGGCGCAGAATATATTGTTTGTTCACTGGCGACATAAGCTCCGAATCCGTACAATGGGGAATCACTCGTTGTCTTGAAATCCAAAATACCTCGCAATCATCAGAAGCACCCGCCGTTGCAGCCAGTCGTGTCCGGTGTTCCATGCCTGCCATCGAAAACGCCATGTTCATCCTTCCTCCAATGCAAATTCGCCAATGTCCGGGTCCCTTCCCTTAATAACCACCTTACACGCCTCCTTGGAACGCATCGTTATCAAAAGGCGGGGGCGGGTCCAAAGCCATGAAATCCAGCAAATCCATGCCTCCAACGTTAACACCCTCCGCAGTCTGCGTAACACCTTGGTCGTTGAGATGCTGATAGAAGGCTGTACCAGGCGGTAGATACCAAAAATCTTTGCCATTGTTCGCGTTCCAGTCGCCAAAGGCATCTTGCATATCAATGCCGTTGCCGTAGGCGGGCTCAGGGCCTTGATTGTATGAATCGCCAGGGGCGGCCACAAATGAGCCTTGGTTGAGGTCAAAGGGGGTGGCTGACACGTTCAGATCTGGAAAAACAATAAATACTAGTTAAAAAAGGATGGGAGGGGACGGGTTACCAGCGCCGTTATTCACGGCGTAATTTGGAGTTGAAGCACTCCACTCTCGGATCGTGTCACTTTGATCCATCTTCTGTCTCTTGGAGTCTGCCTCATGATGCATGACTGGACTGCGATGTCTGCTGATGTTCTCGCCAGATGTGTAGTGGCCGGGAGCACTGATGAATCGGCTTCGCAGACGAGAGGTCAGAGTTTCGAGGAGATCTGCAAAACGAATTCCCAAGTGAACATCATCGACCACGCAGTTTCGTAGCGCATCAACCGCTCTGTCCATGAGTCTGATACTCTTCTCTACGTCGCTCTTCGTTGCACCGAGGGCGAATGTCTTTAGCAAGAACATGGCACCGCTGATAATTCGGAAGTAGGTGCGTACTGGGGCGTGCTTGAGATAGCCTCCAGGTAGGAGTCCATCGACTACGATCGTCAGGAGTTCACGACTTCCATCGACAACCTCCTTAACATAGTCTTGGTCAGCTGAGGTGTAGCTACCGAAAGTCGAGAGCGGCAGCTTTCCGTAGTATGTCTGCTGATTCTCTGTCAATGTAGCGCTATCGAGTCCCGTTGCCGTTCTGTTGTCTTGATGTCCAGTTGTGAGAATCCGATTGCCAGCCTCAGTACTGCATCTCTCAACAACAGCTTGAAGAGATAGAGAATTCACGTAAATTCGAACGTATTGGTATTCGATTTGCAGGATGCATCCAATGTACTGAGGTAGCTTGAATCTCTGAAACTCAGTCATCCATGCCCTCAGCATAGGCTGGAAGTCTTTCAGTAGCTCGATGTAAGTCGAATCGTTGATAATTCTCGTAGTATGCTGCCTCGACTTGAAGAGCTTGTCATTACCGATTCGCATAGCGTTACTGATACCAGCCCAACAGTGGATGATCTGATCATCTAGCTCCAGATTCGGGATGTAGTTGAAGCCGGTGCTCACAGTTGTATTTGTCTCAGGAGTCTTACCGTCTAACGAAGCTTTTCTCTTGCGGGGAGCGAAGGCGGGATCGCCAACGCGCAGGTTCTCGGGAACCATATTTGTCCATCCAAGACGACCGGCCAGTTGTGTGACGTATATCAGCAAAAGCCGCTTGATTCTAGCAGCCCGCAGACGATATGCCTCGTCTTCGTACTCAGGCCGAGTCATCTCTCCCCCCTGAGCTAAAAGCTCTTCAATCTCATCAAAAACACCAAGCTCGTAAGATAGACCCATTGCTGTGCTCAGCAGCATCCAACACATGCGGTCACTTCTCCAAGCCGGCTCTAGCCAACTTTCAATTCTCTTGCCACCGACACCTCTGGGGAGACGAGGCATGCCATCATCGTCTGTGCTATAAGTATCCGGAGTATCGTAGGAAGGAAGCATCAGCTCGTCTGTTGCCTCTGCAGGAGGGAAGTGAAGCGCTCGAGGATGCCATTCTGTCAGGATCATGAGACTTTCAATCGTGCCTAGCGTTCTCAGACTGCCTTTCCGCAAGCCACGCCAAGGTGCTGTGCTCGACGTCTGAGCCTCGGATTCTCCTCCAGAGCCGCAGAAACCACCTCCAAATGCTTCCTGGCCCCACAGGCAGCGTTCGATCATTCCCCGAAGATAAGTCCAGAGTTGTTCATGGATAGCATGCGATCTACAATGGCCTCCGGGACCTGGGATCTGTCGGTAGCGAGTAGCGATTGTCAGAAGAGTGACAGTCAGAATAGGCTCTTCGATGAGCAACGTATGGTGGGTTCCTGTATCTCTGAACGTTGGTGGGGAGATTGGTGTTAGTGGACTGAGGTATTCATAATAGCTGGGCCGGTTAGCCCTGGTCACACATCTAGCCGGCTAGGTTTCACGTACTAATCAATATAGTCGATTGCTTCGCTAGGAGTAAACCATCCAGCTCGCACAAATCTGAATCGGGACCAGGCCTTTACTGCATCCTTATAGCCTTGTTCCTGTATTCTCTCTGGTCGCCCATTTGGTGCTACGGAAGATAAAGAGGGATCAATGGTGGTATCTCTCCGTCGCTTTGGAGGCCTCATACCGCTGCTGACCTGAATGGGTTGGTTGAGGTTGTGTAGAGGAGAAGCCAATGCCTGGTGGCCAGGCGTAGTACTACTGGGCATAGAAGATACCTGGCTGTTGTTTCTCTTGTGACCTGGACTTCAAAAGTTTGAGCATCTCAGCCTCAATTTGACATAAACACCAACTTACCTATTTGTCGCAGCCTTATACAATAGATCCAGAGCATCGTGGGGTCCTGAATCAACATTAGCTTCATTTCCAAAGCCTCAGTAGGGCTCGAGCCTACCATAGACCTCTCGTCGCATAACCTCCTGTGCCTCCAAGTTCTCCAATTGTGTATTTGACCCATCGGATTGTCGCTCGTCTTTTGGAAAATCGCCTTTCCGCTGTTCTGTCGGCCGGCGCAAAGGCTGCGTTCTGCCGATGGATCCACCAGGCGTCAACGGCGGTCCAGGAGCCGCGGGCGCATTATCCACATACTGGTTTGCTGATCTGGCGGATTCTGAAGCACCTATTGACGACTGTCTGATGCTGGCGTGAGGGGAGCTTTGTGGCATCTTCCTGCCGTTGCGAACGAGGTAGTCGTCCTGTTCGTAGCCATCCAGGCTATCGGGTCCGCCTTCTTCATTCTTCCTCTTTCGTCTTGTAGCAGAGAAATAGCATTCTTTGCTTTCTCGTCGGCACCTCACACATGGTGGTTCGTTTGGGTTATCGACAGATCCTAAGTCGCATTTTACCTTTCTGCCGGAGGGTCAGCAATTGTTTGGATTCGATCTGGATAATAAAAAGAGATGAGTGAAAGAGCGATAGAGTCGTACCTTCTTCTGCAAGGGATGCAGGCCTAGGTTCACACGGATATATATTAGCATTATTGATTTGAAGGGTGCTAAACAAGAGAAGAAACAATAGTAGCAAAGAACGGTATCGCGCCTCAGCGGCAAAAACGACTGACTTGGTAAACTCGCTTGTGTTGCTGCTGTTGCTGTTGCTGCTGGCCCTGGCCTGGAATTGGACTTGGACCTGGACCTAGACCGGAGGGGGACCCGGAGCCATTGTGGTTCTCTGGCGGTGGTCGTTGTGTTGACGGTGATGTCGATGTTGATGTCGACATTGACATGGACATAGTGCTCGCGGGGTTGTCGATCTATCGGCGTGTGCCGATACAAGGCGGAACGCTTGGAATCGGCGGTGCACAAAGTGGAGGTCTCGGAGATCAAAGTTCGGCTCGACTCTGTAAGTCTAGGGAATACGACACCAGATGTTGTGCGGCGCAATGTGACCAGCAGAGGGCTAGAGAGAGCAAGAGACGCAGCAGAGCTTGGTGAGATTGTCGTCCCTTATCTTCGATGGGACCTGCAGCTGTGGTGTGGGTGGCACATATTAACGACGATAAGTAAGGAATCCTTACACAGCATAGGTGGAAATTGAAAGTGGAATTCAACAGCCAGTCAGCTATATTATATATTTATTCTGAATAGATATCTCGGAAGGCGATAATTCACTTTCACTTCCGGGTTTCTATCCTCAGCGCTATTTTCGTTGACGAGTATAGCACAATACAGAGAAAGATCGCTGGTAAGGCTATACCAGAGTCCTTCCTCGCCTTGCTAGTATCTCCCGGCTTCTCATTTCCCCCAACTCAGAGCTTTCAACTCGACACTTTTCCAAGGCAAGATTTTGTCTCCGCGATTGGGTCGCTATCCAGCTTTCGCGTTCAGATTCCTCGCTTTTTCTTTCACCGGGCACTCAGGCCGAGCAAATCACCATCCATCGAAGTTTCCGAATCCTCCAGTCTTTATCTTTTTCTTAGCAGGCTCGGCTTCTGGTATTTCGTCTTCAGGGGCGGGTTTCCTGCTGCCGGTAGCCTTGACAGCATTCAAATACTTGCCTACACCACCCGATTGCTCGCTCTGCTCGATAGTCCCGTCATTCCTGATCCGCTTGCCCGTCCAGGTTGTTTTGTCGTCCTCGGTTCCTCCTTGTCTCTTGATCTCCTCTTTTTGCTTCTCGAGCTCATCCCTCTCGCGTTTCTGCTTCTGAAACTCCTCGAATGGGTCGACAAATACCACAACATTTTCCATAACGATATCCTCAAGAGGCCGGTTTCCATCGTCGCCTGGAACATTCTCCAGCTTTGTGAGCACATCCATACCGCCGACGACTCGACCGAAAATGGTGTGTTTCCGGTCCAGATGCTTCGCTGGCTTGTAGGTAATGAAGAATTGGCTCGAGTTGGTATTCTTGCCCTTGTTCGCCATGCTCATGACACCTCTTGCGTCGTGTGTCAGAGGACCATCAAACTCGTCCATAAAGTTCTTACCCCAGATACTTGTTCCTCCCTTGCCTGTCCCGGTAGGATCCCCACCTTGAATCATAAAATTCCGGATGTTGCGATGGAATTTTACTCCGTTGTAATACCCTTTCTTCGCCAAGTGAACAAAATTCCATACAGCCCGTGGTGCCGTTTCTGTTTGTAACTCGATATTCAAAGATCCCATTGAGGTTTCAATCCGAGCATAACCCTTGATCTTTACTCTCTTAGGCCGAAGCATATACTCCTCGTCAGTAAGGAGCGCTCTCTCGCCGCTTGTCTCGGGGGTAAGTCCGGTAGATGTAAAACTTGCTGCAGCTTTACCCGTTGTAAACTGTGCCGCATTGTAAGCCACCTTCTTTTCCTGTAACATCGACGGCTTGGGAGGAGCACTGGAGGCTCCTGGCTTGGCCAAAGCTTTGGATCGATTAACATCACCCCCTGCTTCGCGTTCTCTCCTGGCCTTCTCCACAGCTTCTTTCGCTCTCAGAACCTTGTCTCCTACCCTGCCTAAGGCGTCAATGTTCACACTCCCCTTCTTCCTTTCTTCCTCTTGCTCCTTCGTAAGCACCGTCTCTCCCTCCTTCACAAAGTTGAATTGACTCAAATCCCTGCTCTCCAGATTCTGCGGATCCTGTAGCGTAATGATATCCGACCTCCCGAAATCCCGATCATCAACCAAGTCCTTCCACGTCTTAGCCTTGATATTCAGCCTCTCAACCGTCTCCCAGGCAAAAACGTTCGCCTCGCTGCCATGTCGTATGGCCACAATATGCGTATTGTCCGTAAACACCTTGAACGTAACAGGATCCACCATCTCTCCCTTCCCATCTCCAGCCCCCATGCCCCCATCATGCGCATCCGTGTCCCCGTTACGCGCGAAGTTGAGCTTTATCAAATCCTTATCTTTCATCGGCTTGCCAGTCACCGGATTCGTTCCATGCTTCTCGAGCCATTGACTGATTACCTCAACGTCGAATATCGTGCCTTCTGCTGTGCAGACTGGGTGTTTGAAGGGTTGGAGACTCGCGGCGCAAAAGTTGAAGGGCAGTCTCTTGAAGTTCGCTCCATTTGGCGCTTTTTGGTTGACGTTCGAGCCAGCGCTGGCGGAGTACGCGTCGGAAGAGGACCACTCGGAGTGGGTAATCTAGCAAACAGTCAGTGCAGGTTCTATAGCATGACCGGAGGCGCTTTTGTCGAGGTCGCGTAGGTGAGTTTCGAAGTGTCGAGGCCATTTGGGAACATACGTATAGCTTATCCGTACCTGTGATATTGTTAGCAATGATGGATTGCTAAGCTTCGGGTTTTCCTGGAGCCTACCTTTACCCATTTTGCAGTGTGTGAGGGTTGACTACGTTGACTACCTTGTATTGTACTGTGGCGGCTGTTTATAAAAGTTGATGCCAAGATCAGATGAAGATCTGATCTAATCTAATCTTGCTCGGTTAAATGGCTCCACCTTTTCAACGACTTCACTCCATCCGTCTCAGGACATCATTAATATTGGTCTCCAATTCTAACTCCTCACTCCTTTGTTTCTTGGGTCACAAACAAATTGAATTCGCTCTAAATATGCGGCTTGGTTGTTGTATATATCGATAACTTCGTGTCTGCTTAAAGCCAAGTGGTTCCACCAGATTGGAGAAGTACTACTGACCGTGAGGACTTCAAGAACTCCAACCCGAGTCAAAATCCATGGCCCCCAAGTGTAACTCCCATAACAATGCATCTTCTTCTGTGTACATGCGCCTACTGGTATCCATACCGAGCTTTGGGTGACTAAAATGCAGTCTTTGAGCATTGTCTGGCTTTTCTATTTTCTCCCGATGTATTTCCCTCTTGGGCGGCTTTTCAAGCTACTTGCTTGGAAGTTCGTTGCTGTTTAACGAACAAAGCTTGGGTCTCTAAGACTTCAAGTCCGTTATTGAGAAGCATTGCTGTAATCTCGGCACGGTGAACCTGAGAGATGCTAGCATGATCTGTTCTCGATGCAAGTAAAAATCGTTTCTCGTTCTGCACTTGCTTATTATTTCTGATGATGCTCTAATGCTTCTAAACTTTCGTAAGGCTAAGGAATAAAAGGCCTTGATGAATCGCATGTCCAATATGGACGACAAAAACTGCCGCAATGAGAGCGCAAGAGGTGTGTTCAATGCCCGCAGTAAAGGTTATCAACTTTCAAGGAACACAGTGAGCGCCCAGAAGTACGATATTCCTGTGGATATATCTCAAGCCCTTTAGCATATACTTGTTCTGGCAAAGAAGTACGAAGTCTGCTTGATTGGCCAAGTGGTCCTCCTCTACCGGAGAGAAATTTCGTAGTCTCCTGGAACGCGAACTCAGCCTATAGGTTAAGCGTCCGGGTTGCTGCTCAATTCGTGCCGGCTGCGCTAGCCGTGTTTATCATCACGAGGGTACTGTTTGGTTTCCCGAACGGTTGTCAACAACAACAAAGTCAACACCGCCGAACACAACCCCATCAAGCAATTCTGCTGCGCTTCGCAGGGCCTCCTTTCCCGACACTCGGTGTCACTATTCAACTCGCATTCCTCTCGCTACAATCCCTGCACAGTTGGTGCTCTCATTCAAACCATGTCCGAACAGGGCAAAGCCAACAGCGCGTTTCTTCGGAGATGCCAGAAGATCAAAGACACACTCGGCCGCGATCCCACGCGTAAGATCTCTGTATCTTGACCAGTTGATTGATGTTACTAATGGCTGTATTAGATTGGGAACTCATGGCTCTGAGAATGCTCCCTCTTCCTCCTGCTAGCCAGCCGTACCTCGTAACCCCGGAAGGTGTCAAAGTGAATTGCCCGCACCAGATGCGTGAAGTTCTAGCCCGCTGCGAATTGATGGATGATATCACCGGACTGAATGAAATTGGTTCTCAACTCAACGTGTACGTCGAGCGCGACGCCTCACCTCCCATTGGAGACCCTTCATCTTATTTGGCGCCAATCTCTTCCTCCACGTATACCGCATCCTCTTCCAACCCCCCCTTTCCCTTCCAAAGAAATGCGCAGCGCGGAGAGGATGCTGGCCATGACGGACCGGCCGGACCAAGCAAGTGTACATATCCCGACCCAGACGATCACAACCTAATCGACTTGACCACGTCTCCGCGTCGGAATCCTACAGGCGACCCTGAAACCGGTGACAGGTCCAGCCTTATTAAGTCTGTTCGACAACCTCCCATGTTCAACTTCTCAACCCCAACAAGACGTAACAGAGTCACCGAAGGCATCGTTGCGACTCCCACACCTACCAATTCAGGCAGACAACCCCGCAAGTCGTCGGCCAGCAAGCGTGTCCATACTCCACAACAAATTGAGTCCGAGTCAGAAATTTCCCAACCAAAGCGTCGTGCTAGTCAGTCCAGAAAGTTGAGCTTGTCGGGAGTCACGACGCCGGTTCGCCCACGTAGGTATTCATTTCTTCTATTTCTTGCTTTCCCGACTCCCACGGCACCATAGAAAGGAACATGACTACATTTCAATCCCATCATGAAATGTTTATGGACAGGCATTTGCTAATTTTTTACGTCCTGCAGCTACTAATCGCAAGAGCTCAGCCACGCCACGGTCAGTAAGTCGGACGAAGAAGCAGGTAGCCACTCCGCTTGAGACTAATTCGCAGGATACTCTACTTTACTCCAAGTACTACGATGAGTTGCTTCAGGTTCCCAATTTCCAAGCGGGGATGGGACTTCAGGCACAAAATCAGATGATCCCAACCTACAATCCTTACGACCCTAATCCTGGCTGCATGACCCTACAAAACAATAGTCTCGCATACGGTGATCAGTCTCGGGCATACCCTCAACCTGTCATGGCTCTTAACCATGGATACAACTACCCGGCGCAGGCAGTGGAAAATAGTCGCGGAATTGACGAGTCTATGCAGGCGATGAATCAGCAGAGACAAGACGAAATTCGCAGTCAGCAGGAGGAAAGTGAAAATCAAGAATCAAAGCCTCCGTATATTCCTGTTTACACGCCCCCACGTCCTGAGATGACCTCTGCGAAAACTGAACCACCACATTCCATACACGCAGGCTTGTCAGGTATGATGGAGACTCCCGCACGTCCTGTGATGAACTCTTCCTATTTTGGGCCACAACAGTCCGGCCGCGAAAGCTCATCAAGCATGATGGAGACTCCGCCACGTGCTGCGTTGGCTTTGGCAAATGTTGGACAGCGACAGTTTCTGCACAGAAACTCGCCAGGCACCCCAAACATCATGATGAGCACAAACATTCCATCACAACACTCACCTTTCGGGGGCTCACTTGATATGCTCAAGACTCCGCCCGAATACATTCTGAGCTCTCCACTCCAGACGAAAAGCAATCAATCTAGCGGTCGCTCCCGATCTAGCAACAGAGCAGTTCCGGTGTGTGATGACTGTCGCAAGGCGAAGGTCTATTGTGATACATCCCTAGGCCTCAGTGGTGGAGGTTGCAAACGATGCCGACACACCAACCGTAATTGTTCCCTCCTGGCAACTAATACTCCTAGAGCAAACCAAGATCCCAACCTAATCCAGTCTATTGAAGGACCGCAGCTGCAGCTGGGTGACCTTCTCCCCCGACCAGACTCTTCCGCAGAGACTGTTGGCTATGCAGCAGCTCTCAAGCCATCTGCTCCGTTATACAGCGCAGATGATGATGTGGTCCATGCTCGCGCGCAGTTGATTCAAAAGAACACAGCGAAGAAATTGCCACGCCCTCCACCGCATCCATCTCAACTCGGTCAGTTCGTGCTCCAACCCTTGCCTCGACAGCAGCTTCAGTATGGTCAGTCCACGGCCAGTCCTGGTGGTTACTATCATCCAGCCATTTCCTCGCATCCTCAATCTTCCGCAGCGGCCCTACCACCAGTTCCCAATATGTATCAATACCAAACAGTCGCCACAAATTCGGGGTACCAATACACGGGCCTACCTCCAGCCAATTTCGAGCGTAATATCCGTCAGTTCCCAACCGGCAATCTTCGATTCGGGGATTCTACTGGCCATCCTCGTACATACCCACAGCCACTCCCCGGTAACGGTCCTGTAAATATGTCAGCCTTTGCAAGACGTGTCCCGGATCCTTTCCGACAGATGCCAATGCTCCATCCTGGTGCATCGTCTCTGCCACAGAGCAGTGGCTCGCCTTCCCCCGCTCCCAGCCATCCGTCCACAACAATCAGTCGCCGTCAACTGGTCCGATCATCTGCGCCAACTCCCGAACTCATTCCAGCTCTAGGCTCTTTTACGGAGTTTTTCGAACATCCAGAGGCGGAGGCCAAGTGGCGCAGCGATGCTGTGACTGCTACGCTGGCAGATAAGTCGAAGCCAGAGGAGACTGGTGATTGTGCTGCTGCTGCTTCATCTTCCCCTCCACCTGAACTTCCTAAGGCTAAGGCAAAGGCGAAAGGAAAGGCGAAGGCGAAGGCGGTCCGCCCGTTCAACGAAATCGCTGACCCGGTCTCGCCATTCTACACAGAGTTCTTCAACGACCCCGAGGCAGAGGCAAAGTGGCGCAACGATGCTGTGGCCGCTGTATTATCCCAGAAAGATATGCCGGAGAAGAACGCAGAGGACGAGAGATAGTGGGTCGGCGGTGCTGTTCTACTCTCAGGATCTCCTTCTGCTGTTTATTCTTGGCACATGTCTATACGTCGAGCTTGGTTGTCCTGACCCTTTTTATTATGACTGGATGACTGTAATGTACGAGATACCCCATTTTTCATTTTTTTCATTTCCCCACGTGTTTTTCTTTTTGCCGTGTACACCATCACTCAGGTTGGGTCTGGAGGGACCATATTGGAGCTTGGAGCTTGGAGCTGCGTGCTTGGTGATCGTGGTCAAGGTGCTTTCCAGATACGTTGCGCGGGATGGGCAAGATGGGCTGGATACTTGTGAAGTGAGCAAGCGCCGTTTATCATTCATGTAGATTAGTGCTCGGGGCTCTGTGTAGTGTAAGAATATGTATTTTTATTTGCAAAAGATGTTCCCTATCGTGACGATACCAGTGCGTTTCAGCGCCTGCTGAATCCAACAATCCGGCTTCTACGATTCCGGCCTTCAGTTTACGTTCGGAATATCGAAAATATAGAAATGAAGGACGGAGTGCTAACCAAGAAGAGAAAATGTTGTTCGACCTGTTTTGGTATCTTCAAAATGATTTTCGATCTTATTAATCGAATACACGTCTTACTTACTTTTAAGCCACATCGGCTCACAAACCTCAGCCGGCAAGATAGTCTCCAGTGTTATCGTATTCCGGGAATGTTAGTAGTAGCATGAGACTTCCCAGCTAATTTCCATTCTTGCCCCTCTGGTAAAAAAAAAAAAAAAAAAAAAAAAAAAAAAAAAAAATAGGGGGGAAAAAAGCATCAAAAAGTTCAGCCCGGTGTCGAATGCCTACATCTTTTGTCGTATTCGAATTCCGCCGTGATTTTGTCGTGTGTGGTTCGGTGTTTCTAAACCACTCGGCCCCAAATCGTTACAAAGTTGTTGATCCTCCTGCCAGATTGACCTGACAAGTACACCATTGTACCTGCGCCACTGGTTGAAGTACATCCGCAACATCTCGTATCATAAAGGAGACCCAAAATTTTGTTTGGATCGATCGGCGTCAGTTCGGGTAAAGGAGAGCCGAACTACCTACGGAGCGTCGAAGCGATAGGTAACGTTCAGCTAGGTTGTGCCTGGCCAGCTAGCTAGCTACTACGCCCGGGACTAGCTTAAATGACGCTCTCTCTTCTTGTGGGTTAGAGGATACTTTTGGTACGATTATGATGGTATGGAAGAGGAGCTTAGATTAGATATTCCATCAACGTCTCTAAAGGCACTCGAGTGTGCAACCTTCCTCGGGGGATGATATACCTCTCATGATATATATATATATATATAAAGTCTATGCTACAAGACCAACAGCAAATTAGAAGACACATACTCCAACGGAAGTCGCCGTTGCTGATCTCAGTATCCCGAAAAATGATGCACCTTCTTGCCAATCCCACCCATAATCCCCTACCTCCATTGCCTGACCATCACTTCCCCATCTCCTGCGACTGCATCTCCAGATTCCCTCTCCCACCACTTGACCAAAAAGCTATGGACTTCCCAATGGCCACTAGTGTACTTGGAAAAATTTAGAGCCTGACTACCAGCGCCGGTCTTCTTCTGCAGAGGTTCCGGGCTAGCTGAGCCGCCAATCTCACCAGTGACAAGAGTGCGACGTTGCTCTCTGACAGCCTTCCTCAGCTTCAGACCCGTACCTCCAAAAAAAAAAGAGTCATCACACAGAGCTCCATTACAAAAGCCATGAAGAGCAAGGTCGTGGTATCTCCCTCGAGCAAGTTGAAGTGCAGATTGGTGGTGAAGGTGCTAGTGCAGGAGTAGATGAGCCGGACGAAGAGGAACGGGGGAGCGATCGCGACGGCGAAGAAGAGCCGCTTCTCGCCGGGCTCAGCACGGGGGACTAAGAATGAGATGATGGTCGTGGAAGCAACGGTGGCGTCGCACGACACGATGAACAGTGCTGTGCCGGCCTTGGTTAGGGTACCTCGGACGTCGCGAGCTCCCGGATCCGTCTCCAAATCACTGGTGTAGACGGATCTGGCATCGATGCCGCCGACAATTCCAAAGATTAGACTCACCAGGATGACGAGCTGGACAACCCTCAGGATGTTGGGTAGGAATACGGCATGGTAGGATTTGTGGATGCTGATGAGAAGTCGGCCGACGAATCCCAACGCGGCAAACAAGAGCGGCGAGAGGCCAGCGTTGTTCAGAATTGCGTATCCAGTGTAGAGACTTGTGTTTCCTGGATCGGAGATCGTAGCAAGTTGCATGGAGGGGCCGATTATGCGTGCCAAACAGAAAATGATAAGGTAGAGCCATCCGGAGCTCTTGCCAAATCCATGTCGTATCGCGAGGAAGACTGCGACTGCGAGACTAGGAACATACAGTAACCTCTAACTGCTAATGTATAAACTTTCATTTCGCACCAATAATCTTTACATTTGACAGCTTAAACTTTTTATAACCATAAACCTTAATAGGAAAGTAAAAATTGTAACCCTTCTGGCAACAAGAGATAGCTTATAACCATAAGACGTTTAAAGTTTATATTAGGAACTAATTGAGTTCACTAAAGCAGAAACACAGTATAGAAAGTTGGCTTTCGCTTGACTGTGGAACAAGTCTTCAAAAAAAAAGAGCGACTTCAGCTTCGTTTTTTGTACCTATCTAGGTCTATTAAACAATCAAATTCAAGATTGAAGGTTTAGATCAACTACGTCCCCGAACATAAAATAAATAAAACACCGGCTAGTGTTAATTTTTCCCCCGAAGTTGACCCTTAGTTTTGGTGCGAAAAATGGTTTTATGCATTAGCAGTTACCTAGTACTGTACCAGTGCTATTGACTTCGAGAGAGAGGGATACGCGATGGACAGAAAACTGCAAGCAGAGGAAGAGAAAGGAAGACATACGATCAGCTGCAGCAAAAATCGTATTTGTTGGCCTTCTCCACACTCATCTCATGTGATTTCTTGTGCAACTCCTGTTCCTTCATAAGGAGTTCTCTTCGTGCGCCAGTCTCGATACGGGATCCTCGAAGCTGCTCAGCCGCCGGTCGCCACAACTTAACCTGCCAGTCCAGTATTCATCAGCAAGCGGCCAGTAGGGAGAGAATTATAAGTCCATCGAATGCCTGTGGCTTATCACATTGATGGATGTGCGGCTTCTCAACTCGTCAGCCCTGCGATCCCGGTGGTCGTCGCTTGAAGACTTGAATGAGGAAATATCATTCACCGTCCGTGACAGCCTGACTCGTCCATAGAAGTACGCGATATCATATTTAGAAATAGATCATAAGGCACCTGCGTTCCCGAAGCAATAGACATGTGAGAGAAGCAGTAGCAAGCAAATTCGTTTCTGCTGAAGCAACTGTGTCAAAAAATTGCTGTGATACATCTGGCAATATCTACGGAGAAGATCCTGCAAGTCGAGCCAACTCTAGTAACCATAGTAAAGGGGACAACATAATTTTGTGATAAAAGCCTGTAAGCTCATACTTGGGGAAAAGATGTATATGTTATCTGCATGCCACTTGGCTACACATTTATACTAATGTACAACCTGCGCAAGAACAAGAAAATACCGTTGATGGTGAAAATAAGAAATCGTGTTTATCCATTCGCCTGTGTCTATTACTACAAGCAAGTACCAAGTGGTCTCTCATACATCCTTCGGATCTTTCGTCACAAGCTTCCCCCGAGATTCATCATCACTACCTTCCTCCGACCACCTATCTCCGTCCTCACCCACAGCGAATATCGTCTCTCCATCTAGACTTTCCCTAGGAAGAATTTTTGCAGTATTGGTTGCTGAGGGTGCCGGATCATACCGAGGACCTTCTTGTCCTGGTTGTGTTCTGTCTCCTCTGTGTGCATCAGCGTTCTCCAAATCGTCTTCCTCGTCATCTTCTGCTCCGAAATCTGCAATTTCAAAGCCTTCATCATCTTGAGCCAGCTCGTCACTCATCGCGAATCTCCTGTTATTTGCGGTGGGTCTCCACAAGTATGCTATGAAGACAACGTCGCCAAGGTAGACGAGGTTTAACCATCCGTCGAGAATGAACCAGCGGGTCTTCCAGTGGAAGGGCACGAAGTCAGCATCCCCGGCCGAGGCGAACGTGAAAGAATTGAAGAAGAAAAAACCAAAGATGATAATGATGGAGCTGAGGATAGCCCACCAGAGCTTGCGGTACATAGAGAATTTCTGTGTTTGTTTCCGCTCCATCAGATCCTTCATAGTCATGTTAAGAGAGTTGAGAGTCCAGACATAGAAGGCTGTAAGCGTTCCTGCCAATGGCAGGATGACGAATAGCACGAGAGGTCCTGTCACTGATCAGCTTAAATGGCAAGGAGGTACTAGTAAGACGTACCAGCAGTCTCGGGAGTGACAGTCAAGCTGGCAATGGAGTAGATCAGGCCAAATACAAAATGGGCACCTGCAAGATAGCGAACGTAGATCATAGTCTTGCCAAGGCTGTGCTTTACAACACCATAACCCATACAGACAATAAGTAAGAGGAAGAAAGAGAATGAGTTTCGTCCCGCGTTCAAGATTGCGACAACGATCATCAAGACTTTCGAGCCTACATTGGAGCCATGGCGATTCATGTAATCTAGGAAAGTCAGTGGTGTCCGGGTAAAGATTCACAAGACCATGTACCGTAGAAAAACCAGGTCATCAGCATTTCAACTATCAAAAACATGATAATTGCGGTGATGTAATTTTGTACAGGCACTGCGACGTTGGTAAGCATATTGATGGAGTTTCAGAATTGAATGTCTTACAAATGTCTTGTCTATGTTGCGCATATAGAAAAGCCCAGAAGCTGTCACTTGTGTTAGCAAGCTGCAACTGCTTTGAATCAAAGGTATGACAGGTAACTTACGCCCCGATAACTGCATAGACAAGGGTAATGCCTCCATAAAAGGGTAGCTTCGCAATCTGAGCAGCCGGAAGCTCGCCGTAGGCATTTCGAAACTCGACCGTAGCTGTGTATGCAACATCCGATGGCGAAAAAGCTGTGGTCCCAACACAGTAGTAGCCGGTTTTCTTGATCGCATAGTTGATAGGTAGTCCCGGATCCTTCAAGTGTACCGCTTTTGTGAAAAGCAAATTCTTCGAAATCTCCGTCGCGTTGGGGGCCAGAACGAACTCTCCAGTCTGGTTGGCATTGCAGAACTTATTCTCGATTGATTGCGTGTCGCAAAGGTATTCCTTCTGTGTATGGAATCAGTTATCAGCCCCGGCCAGCGAAAACGGCAAGAAATACCGTTATAGAATCAGCGGTAGGAAGTACCCCTATCAAATTATAGTCCTTCCACTCGAATATCACCAAACTCGTGATCGGATCCGAATCGCCCTCTTCCGTGTTCTTTAAGAATTTGACAAGTATATGCGGCTCGACAGCTCCTCCCCAAGATTCCCGACTGTACATTCCTGCGCAGATCTGTCTGTTCTCAGCCACCTGATTCATCTTCATTTCCATTGCTCCAACAGTGATAGCAGACAGCCCCAGCAGGAGGAGACCATGGAGCCAGTTCCTCATGATTGCTGTAGCCTCGAGGCTGATGCTTGCGGCTTGCGTGTCTCAGCACCTGTCGCTTCGAATCCAGCTTATAAGTAGACCGCAGGGTAGGTGGTTAACCTGGAATATTGAGTAGAGTCCGAGATATGACGATTGTCGTAAGTCAGGCATAATATGGTTGAAGAGTTGCCCTTTCCAACATGCTCCATGAGGCAACGTAACGAACCTAGGCGCTTGGACCGTTCAAACATACCACCCCACTTAAAACGTGCCTGGTAGCAGCCTTCGGGGAGGCTTAGGTAAATAGTTTCCCCGAAATAATATACCGACTTGAACGAACTCAATTATACATCAATTATACATCCAACATGGCAAATTCGAGCAATAAAGTTGCTTCGAATGGCGTCGCTAGCCCACTTTGTAAGCGATGCAACGAAGAGCCTGGAACACAGCAAATCCGATCAGAGACAGTATGCAGGTACGTCTTGAGTGGATCTATGGAAAAGCAGATATTGACATGAGTCCAGCAAGTGCTTCACGCAATATGTAGCAACCAAGGTTATCAAGCGCATGGAAACTTACAAGATGCGAGGTTCAAGGAATGCCCCAAAGAAGTTACTGTTTCCCCTCTCGTTTGGACCCTCGTCTGCCTCGTTACTACACATTCTGGACCAGCATCTCCAAGGACAATACGAGCGAATGAACCGAGCTGCATACAAGCTACACATAGTACACATCTACTTACACCTGGATGATGCCGATCGAAAGGACTGTGTTGCGTTGCTGGAGAAGTACAAGGCTCGTTTTCCTAGACATACATATTTCTCCCTAGGCCTCGAGGATGCTCTCCAGCTGGACAACATAGATTGGAAAGCCCTGGGAATGTCTGCTCCTGCAGAGGTTGTCACTCAGAAACTCGGAACAGAGCGATTGCAAGCGCTTATTGGCTCCATGCCTTCAGCGACTTCACGGAAGGACATTGCTACCACACTGCTCACTCGACTTCTAGTGGAAGTTGCGAAGAGGAACAGCTGCGAAAGCATCTTGTTCGGAGACTCTACCACGAGGCTTGCTGAGAAGACTCTCACGGAGACAGCCAAGGGCCGTGGGTTCTCTCTGCCTTGGCAAGTTTCCGACGGGATGACATCCTATGGAGTCGGGTTCAATTATCCCGCGCGAGATTTGCTGAAGAAAGAACTCGTGACTTTTACTTCTCTAACCACAGCTCCTCTCACGGACCTGATCCTATATCAAAACTCGTCATCTGAAATATCCGCTTCCTCAAAGTTGACCACGATCGACGATCTGATGATCCAATATTTCGAGTCTGTCGAACAGAATTACCCTAGCATTGTTGCAAATGTTGTCAGAACGTCGAGCAAGCTCAAGCCCAGGAGCGGTGAGGTCTCCGCGGGATGTGGTCTCTGTGGCCTCCCCGTATTAGAGGGAAATGATGGGATATTTGGCTGGGGTGGTGACCAGAACTCGGACTCACGACCTATTGGAGAGAATGGCGATCAAGGGATTTTATGCTACGGGTGCTCTAGATCTATCAATGGCTAAACTTTGAGGCTTCCAGCCCAAGTCGAAGCCAGAGTTCCCAATTCGATACAGGAAATTCGATAAAATTGACATCCTCTGTCCTGACCTCACCCTGCCCGGCTTCGAATTCGAATTCGGCATTATGCAACTGAGCAACGCGAAAAAGCATTTGTTGCAGCTTGCACCAACTTTCGAATCTATCCCGGGGATATCCAAAAGACATGCGCATCGAACTGTTTTTTCAATGCCAATTCCGTAGATGCATGTCAAGCTTGGATCAACAAAAGAGAAGCTTGAATTGGTGGTTCTGCTATGAAACTACTCAAACATTCTTTTTCTCGTCGGGTGGAGGAAGAATCTTGTCCTCCAGCTTGCGCATCAACTTATTTGTTTGCTCGGCCAAACTGAGTGTCAAAATGGTGTGAGGCAAGATTCTTGCCAGATGGGGCAAGAATCCTTTATAAATAGCCAACACCCCTTCGGTCTTGACCGTCTTCGCTAGACAATCCAACACTCCTTGGTAGAGATTTCCGTTTTGGTTGTACATGCGAGACATGATGGTGTCTTGGCTTAGCATTAGCTTGTCCTCATCCAAAAGAACTTGATGACCTACCCGGAGGATGCATCACGCAGCATACCACGAATCCACTAGCAGAACTGCTTGCCAAATGCAAGGCTGGACCATCCTCCATCCCCAAATGCTTTTGCAGCCTCCTCTTCGCGAAAAAGTACGTTGGCAGCTGTACAGAACTGCCAAACCCTGTCCTCACCATAGCAGCCCCCACGCCTCTGTAGAGCCCATTGACGCCCTCTCCCTTGTATATCTGCATCATACCATCCACAGCGTTCTTGTAATTGTGTTGGGTGCCCACCGGTGCAAACGGAGAGAAACTCTGTAATCTTGTCTTAACCAGAAAGAACGGACTCCCAGCCGCGGCGCCCAATATTCCAGAAGAAGCGCCCGAGAAGATATTAATCCCCAAGCTCTGCGTTGTCGAGTCCGAGCAGATGGCCGAGGTTATAGTATGCCGTATTGGTTCGTAAAAGCCCAATCGACATCCATTGAGGATCATTTGGTAGATATACGCCGTGCCGATTCCGCGATAGATGCCCCTGACCCCCTCATTGCGAACGATGACTGAGACGCCATGGAGAGGGCCCTTATACATGCGCGGTTGAAGACTCTTCTCCTGAAGCTCGCCCTGCAATTGCATGCTATACGCCCATGGTCAGCGCCTTGATCGCTGATGGAAGCTCGCGAGAGGGGGGCTTACCGGATCTTGACTGTCTCAAACGGATGCGTAGCTGTGACTGCTCCGCAAGCTGCAATGCCACCAGCCACAAAAGCTCTATCCCCGTCAGCAACTCGATATTTGTCTGCAGCTTCACGGCGTACCCTAGAGTTGTAGCCATGTTGGCGCTTCCCTTGTGCCCTCCTTCAGAGGGGTTGCTGCGCTCGGTGTAAGTGCAACACCAGCTTGAGCTATGACTAGTTTTTTGCCAGATAAAAAATTGGGAAGCGCCTTTGTGGGCAAACTCCTAAGACGGTGAGTCGATAATCTGACTTTATCGCCTACCTATCAATTTATAAAGGCTATCTATAAGCTGCTCTGGATTGACTTTTCAAGAGAGCTGATCTGCTGTTGCAGTAAATAAAGTTTGTCCCACAGCTGAACAATCCCCTGATGCTTAAACGACGGGTCCTCGGCCAATCAGAGAAGTAGCGAGAAGTCGGCACGTGATCGATCAAAACATCAGTCCTCGCTGCGAAAGGAACTCCCAAGTCTTGACTACCTATTGGATCGCCCAATTCTGACTCCAACACCTAAATAATGCACCCTGAATCTTGACTTTGCTTTGTGTGCCAAAGATACGAACGATACGAACGATACGAAAGATACAAATTCGAAAACAATTGATAACGACCAGCTATGTCGACAACTCCTATAGCTGTCGACTCTCCCATTGGCAATGGCCTCACAGGGAAAATAACTGCAGTGCAGCCGACGGCGATACTCTCCGAGGTGATCTCGCTGTATCGACCGACCAAGGTACGGCCCTCACATTCATAATTGAGAAAAGACTGACACCAAGAAGCACTTCCGCCGAGAGAAGACTCCGGGCCAGCCAACGACTATAGTCTCTCTCAGCTTTGACGATGAAGGAGGTCAACTTCTCACATCAGAAAGTGACCACACCATGCAAATCTACAACGTCAAAGATGGCAAACACCACAAGCCCCTTCTCAGTCACAAATACGGGGTCAACCATGCCATGTTCGGCCATGCCACTGGCTGCATTATTCACGCCAGTACTAAACTCAACCGTATGCCTCTCTTCCCCCTGATACTTCAAACTGTACTCAATCACATACAGATACCATCCGCTACCTCTCCACCCACGACAACTCATACCTCCGCTACTTCGAAGGCCACGAAGACACAGTCACGTGTCTCTCTTTGCACCCCGGGCAAGACAACTTCCTCTCCTGCAGCGAAGACAACACTCTCCGCATCTGGGACGCAGCGACCAAGAACCATTGCGGCAAACTCCTGCTCAACGGTGCGTACCTCGCTGCCTGGGACCCCTCCGGCAACGTCTTCGCCGTCGCCTCTCCCACCGCCGCGTCAATCCTGCTTTACGATTTTAGAAACTATGATAAGGCCCCTTTCTCGACCTTTGATATTCTGCCCTTCGCTAACCCGGAAACGTCGAATTTGGCGAGCAAGGGGTGGAGTAAAATTGAGTTCTCAAATGATGGGAAACACATCCTGCTCGGCAGTGCTGGGCAAAGCCACTTCTTGCTCGATGCGTTTGATGGCCACTTGAAAGCTGCTTTACGTCGAGAACGTGGCAGTGTCCGAAGACTTTATGGTGGTGACCAGAATCCAGAAGGCGTCAGCTCGCAGTCAAGCGACTACCTGTACCCCGGCACCGGCGACTGCTGCTTCACACCGGATGGCAGATACGTGATCAGTGGCTCCCGAGGCCAGAATGCTCTGGTGTGGGATACGCTGGCTCCTGCGCCCGAACAATTCCTCCTTCCGATCCATCAGCTGGAGTATGACGGGGAGTCGGCGGTCATTGCCTTCAACCCGCGCTACAACTTCTTTGCTACAGGCGACAAGGATGTCGTATTCTGGGTCCCGGAACAGAGTTTTTCCTGAAGCACTGACTTCTCGGGTGTCATACGGGTATGAGTGGCAATTGATGGGGTGGAAAATTATCTTGCATTTGCGGCTTGGGTTTGAGTTTCGTGGTAGGATACCCCAAAAAGAAAAGTTGTTTTGAGGGACGGGGCGTTTGGGGGAGTTAGCTCAGAGCAGATCACCGAGCCAGTGATTTAGACTTGGAGTGGACGTCTACTCTCGAGGAATCTCAACGTTAGCCACCTTCTCAATCGTGTCCATGAGAAGGCGGCTGCTACAATCAAATTCATGAATAATCCAGTTCTCTAATCAGGTCTTCGAAGTGCGCAAACTTTTACGGACAAATTGAACTGTTCGTGCAGATTCGTGGTGCCGGTTACTATGGGGAAGACCTGTGAGTATCACGATTGAGAATCGGCAGAATGAAGCTTTTGATTTCCAACTTTCAACTTTTTAGTCTTCAACTTTCAACCTTCAACCTTCAACCTTCAACCTTCAACCTTCAACTTGTTCCCTCCTCATTCTCATGAAATAGTGTGACTGAAGAAAGGGTGTCATGACCAGAGGCGGAACAGTTTTACACCTGCCCATCGATTTGAGCAGAAAGCCATGAATGGGCCTACGTCGCAACTGATGTCAGCATCAAGCTCTGCAGTTACCTGCAATAAAGGCTGTAAATCTCAAAATCAGCCATCCAGCCTTCTGCTGCCCTCTACCTCATACATACATACATACATTTCATACGGCTCAAGTTGGAAGTTCTTGTTTACAAATCAGCCGAGAGCTTTCCTCATTCACAAAGTCCCCTCCTCCCTCTCAGTGAAACCCCTTCGCTTTTTCTCCTTTCCGACTAGCGACCGGCACGTCGGCGACAGCCATATATCCGGGCCGGCACTATCGGGATCACTGCTCTGCTCAACGGCGTGGTCAAAAACCTTTGCCACGCCCGCGTTGCTGCTCAGTATCGTCATGCGATTTGCCCAGCCGTAAAAGAAGACCGATCGGTTGATGGGCGTCAATTTTTCCGCGACGTTCTCCGCGAAGGCGGGGAGACTGGTAATTATGGTTGCCATATCGGTGTCTACGATTTTGATGGGTAGCGACCATTCGGCCGGCACGGGGTAATCTGTCAGGGTCTGGAAGTGCTTGACGAGCTGTTCTTGGGGCAGGTGTGAGTTCTCGTCGAGACCGAGGAGAAGCGAGGCTCGCTTGCTCTCGTCCTCACTGCCGATGGTTTTGATAATCTCCCGCATTCTGTCTGCTGATTCCTTGGTGGTTACAAGCTTCCTACTGCCGCATGCCGGCCAGAGACTGGATGGTAGTAGTAGGTCTTCGGCCTCTATTTCGATCTGTCTGGCTATTGCACGATTATGCCATTGTGCTGGCTCAACTCTCCCGTGAGATAGGTCACTCGCAAATGCAAGTAGTATAGTACAGTCAATATTGAGGGTGTCGGAGAAGCAATTCAGTCTGTCAGCTGCCATTTGCTCGATAGCGTCAGCCGGTAGAGGAGGTCCGGTAGGCAACTCTTGCGATGTAAGAATGACAACGCCCATATTTCTGATCTTCTGTAGAATGGCTCCTACTTCCTTGGAATCCGGGACAGCTTTGATTTTGGGTAGCACGAGTGTGGTCTTGGGATGTCGGCCATGGACGACAGTAGCTCGGGACGCTTTAACAAGAGCCTCGACTTGCCTCAAGAGTCCTTCTGGTTTGTCGTCTTCGAGCACCTCGAAATCATCTTCACTCTCACCACAAGAATCTACCCAGCCTGCTTTTGCCAAGTCCCATATGATCTTTTTTTCTGTCACTGAAGATACCATTGTCCAACTTAAGCCGTCCTCTGATACGATATCAGCCTTGGCATGTATCTTAAAAAACTTCTTCTCAAGACCGATGACGCTCCTGCAAGTCTTCGCTATCGACCACACCAGTCCGTAAAATGAAAGATTGGAGGATCGAAGCCCGTGAGCTGTTTTCGGATCCGCCGGATCTGATTTTAGGAGCTTCGATATCTGATTAGCACCCCTGAGCCTGACCAGAAATATTGCTCTTTTTCACCTTGCCTAGTATCCGCAGTTCTGACTGAACGCCGCCTTTGAAGCACCTGACCTCGACTCGAGCTTCCTTCTTCAACGCTTTGAGATGCGCCTGGAACTGTAGGAGCTCATCGAGTAGGACTCGACACCGCCGATGCATTTCTTCGGCGAGCTTTTTGGTCTCAGCTACAAGACTATCGGATTGCTCCTCGATCTTCTGATCAGGCTGGGATTCATCGGCCCCGCCAGATGGTGGGTGGGTGGCCATTCTGCATCAGGACTGCTGGAGCTGTTGTGAGGGTCTTTTGTAGATGAAAATGGGTAGGTAGGGCAGCTTATGATTTTGCGCGAAATCGATATAAGTAAAGTGTCGATTCACTGAGATACTCGCCCCCATATTACAGACAGTCGCCCTTCCAATCTACCCCGCCAACCATGACTAAGCGGTAGCTTCGCTAACAACAGCTAAAGCTCGTCCAATGCATTCCATACAACAACAGACTTCTTTCTCAGGAGCCCCAAATGGCTTTTCCTCATTACCATGTAACCTTGAATCTTCCCTAATCTCTACTGTCATGTAGGCCTGCAGATTTAGATACCATGCGACACTTACGAGAAGCCGTTGAATGGTGGGCAGAGCTTCTGAAGAACATTCAATACAAGAAAGCCGTTACGGAATCGCTGTGATATTGAGACTTGATAGTGAACGGTCTGGATCTCCTCTTATATAAATATGATCTCCTAATATTGCTATCCTTCTCTCCCGTTGTGATAGCTACAAAGTTTTCTCTTCTTCCCCCTTCATTGTGACAACAACATATAACTTTCTGAAACGTAAACAAACCACGATCAGAAATGTATTTACACTCATCGCCCAGTTCACATTCATTACAGCTGATACACTGCTCTTCAGCCCCGTCAATAGAGCCTCCGTTGACGATGGTATCTTCGTCTCTCTAGAGTCTAGCCCCCCAGATACCTTCAGCTGGCAACCATTCGGGTTAGCTGAGACAAATCTGACTGGCACCGTCAGGGTAAGACGCTTCTCATCTAGCCAAACTCTTCGGAAGACTTCTATTGAATCGCCTAGGAGATCCACGCCCAGCTGCTCGCTAACGACCCCAGCTTCACAGTCCCCGATTAGACCAAGACCACCGTCCAAATCTTGACATGACCAAAGCAAGGACCCAATTGTCTCCTCGTCCAAGGCCAGCCCACTTATTGAGTTGTTTAGTTTGACCTGGGCCACAAAATTGGATCCGATAGGCCAAAATGTGCTGAAAGAGAGAACATACCTAGTGACACAAGGGAAATGACACATCAAAAAGACTGACCCTCGAACTTAGAGGCCAGAGAGAAGCAAGAACACCAACCAGCCAACTGTAGTCTTCCTTACTAGGAACCCAAACGTAATGAATGGGACTCGAATTACCATGGCAATGTAGAGGGTTTTAGATAGCGAGTATGGGACCAGAGCGATATGCCAGAGTAAACCGACGTTCAGATATACAGGGAGATTCGCAACCTATCAAGCCTGAAGGCGACTAGTCTTCCGCCTTTGGTTCTGCATCGACGGCCTGCTTGGAGGCGGGCTGGATGCTAAAATGCATACGACTCTGAATATTAGAGCAGGATGGAGAACAATATGATACTGTACATTTGTTTTTCTAAGTGTACCTCTTGGAAGGATCCTGTACTCACCAATGCAGCGGGAATGCAATGGTGGGCGTTCACCTTCCAACCGCTGATATTACTCTCGATTGTCTTGGATGTGTTAAATACGAGCCCTATTCATTCCCATAGTACCTCTGCCATGGCTGATTGTTTGTCTCGTTGGGTATTCGACATTATCTGGGTTCTGTTACGATGGCGACATTTTTGCAAAAGCTGACTGTCCCAGAGAAGAAATCGACAAAAAGAGACTCAGTTATCACTCTTTAGTGATATTTTATCCCATTGCCAAATACACTTCAGGATATCGACAACGGTGACACTAGGGGTATAGCGATTATGGCCGCATCGTCTGTGGAAGATCCAATATACCCCCCGATAAGAGTCCACGAATGAGTCCGGAACAGTCTGGTTGCAATATCCATGGTGAGGGTTCCCTGGTCCTCTATTCCCCTAGACGTATATACATGGAAACCTGGCCTTCGGTGGATAAAAACCTGTGAGATGATTGACCTAAATCTTAGAGTCCTGTCGGTGCTAGCTAGCTAGCTAGGGATGAGAATCAAATCCCAAGAATCACGAGTGCACCCTCTAATGTCTGAAGTTGTTGACGTTAATTGCCTCGCTCTCAGGAAAGTGGAAGACATCTGAAGGTGCCTGAAGTTGCCTTGTTTATATAGCCTCACTCAATAAAGCTAGGTATTTAACCGAGCCACGCCAAGACCAAAGCCCTTCAGCCTTATTCCCACCCCACCAACCGAATTCGCAAGTCACTTCGAAGCTCAATCGCAGCCTCTACCACCTCTCCCCACGACACGATCCTGGACGGGGACACCGATAACAAGCCCACCATACACCCAATTGTGCGAACCAAGGACGACGACGAGATTTGGCCCTTCCAGCCAATATCCACCCAAATATCCAAACATGCCGTTCCTACCCACAGCACAATCATGGCTCACCGAAAGCACCCTCCTCCTCGAAGCGCGGCCCTCAACTGTACGCCTCTTCCCCCCCCCCCCAAAAAAACTTATACCTTCACCCCGATCTCCATCCTTTCCCTTAGCTAGCTAACCAATCCCCCCCCGGAACAGACACGCATAACATCCAAATACACCATTTCCCCCCTGCCCTCCACCTCCCCCACAACCACATCCAGCAAACCCAACAAGACCCGCAGACCCGCAGACCCCCTCGCGCCGCGCGCAACGCTCACGCTGAAAACGTTCGACCCCGTAAGCGGCACGACGCTCAAGTACGAGACGAACAAGGCGGCCGAGGTGTCCCGCTTGGTCCAGATCCTGGGACGGTTGGCAAGGCCCATGGCCGGGCTGGAGATGAAGAGGGAGGAGGAGGAGGCTGTTATCAAGGAGGAGGGGGAGGAGGTGAAGGAGGGTGGAGGAGGGGCGGTGGTTGTGGCGGCGGCGGCGAAGGGTGGTGCGCAGCAACAGCAACAGCAGCAGCAGCAGGGAGGTGGGAAGGGAAAGGGGAAGAAGAAGGGGAAGAGGTAGAGAGAATTGATGTTGAGAGGAAAGGGAGAGAGGTGTTTGGAAGGGCTCAGAGAGGATGTGCATTTGCTGGAATGATTTTGCTGTGGAGTGGTCGATGAGAGGCTGCATGCTTGTCGCATGAGTAGGGGAGGCATCCTTCAGCTAGATGACGGGATTTTGAGCAGGCTGATGAGCATCTGGGCAATGGCAATGCATGATACATGCAGGCGTTACGGTTGTGGGATGGCGGACTTGTTGCAGCCAACACAAGAGACAATCATATTGTGAGTCAACAGGAAGAGGATAATTGAAAGGTTGAAATATTCTATTTCTACTACACTATCGGTATCAACGCTATACTCCCTATCCATCCTTCATTCAATCCAGGTCAGCCGCCTGGCATCTCTCATCACAACTGTGGTGATCCCGACTCCCAGAACGCCAATCAATAAAGTGTGTATTTCCAGAAACATAACAAAGACACCAAACGGTTGCATCTGATGACCTCGCAATCTATGCAGAGACCCGTTTGAAGAAGGAGTAGAGATACCCGAGGCAAACATGTACAGTGAATATGAGAGACGCCGATGACCGCCAAAATACAGATTTGGGACATTTAGAAGTCCTCGTCGAAATTGAAGTCACCACCATTCTCTGCCTTCGCATCGGTCTGAGCGGCGGTGTCCTCGTGTTTCTTTTGCGTGCCGGCCATGACACCGGCCTTTTGGTAGTCTCCGACGCGCTTCTCAAAGAAGTTGGTCTTTCCAGCGAGAGAGATGTTCTCCATGAAGTCAAAAGGGTTGGCGGACTTGTAGAACTTCTCGTTACCGAGGGAGAGGAGCAGGCGATCAGCGACGAACTCGATATATTGCTTCATGAGGTTGGCGTTCATGCCAAGAAGAGCGCAAGGAAGAGCCTCTGTCAAGAACTCTTGCTCAATCTCGACTGCCTCGGTAATGACGTCTTGGACGGCTTGCTTGCTTGGGCGGTGGTTCAGATGGGAGAAGAGCAGACAGGCGAAATCGGTATGAAGCCCCTCGTCACGGGAGATGAGCTCGTTGGAGAAGGTAAGACCGGCCATGAGACCACGCTTCTTCAGCCAGAAGATGGATGCAAAAGAACCACTGAAGAAGATACCCTCAACGGCGGCGAATGCAACAAGACGTTGAGCGAACGTAGAGTTCTTGTCCTCGATCCACTTGACAGCCCAGTCGGCCTTCTTCTTGATGCAGGGAACTGGTACACGTTAGTATTCAAGAGTCTACTACTTTATCAAGCTTGTACTTACTAGTATCAATAGCGTTGAACAGATATGTCTTTTGGGATTGCTCTTTGATGTATGTGTCGATGAGAAGAGAGTATGTCTCGGAGTGGATATTCTCCATCATAATCTGGAAACCGTAAAAGCATCGCGCCTCCGGAACTTGAACTTCACCGCTGAAGCGCTCCACAAGGTTCTCGTTCACAATACCGTCGGACGCTGCGAAGAACGCAAGGACGTGAGAGATGAAATAGCGCTCGTCGTCATTGAGTCTGTTATTCCAGTCATGGAGATCCTTGGATAGGTCAATCTCTTCAGCGGTCCAAAAAGAAGCCTCGGCCTTCTTGTACATCTGCCAGATCTGTTATTGAAACATATTAGCCTTTGTCTCCCACCAAAAACTTGTATGAGCTACGCGTCGACGCGACTGACCTCGTGGTACTTGATTGGGAAGAGCACGAAGCGTTGTGGGTTCTCGCGCAGCAATGGCTCATCGGCTTCCTCTGGCTTGATTGTGGGCGCAACCTTTATTATCTCGGTCTTCTTGATTTCTTCAACGACGGGTTTCTTGTTGTCGATGTCGCTGAAGATAGGCGCGTCGGCCTTGAGTGACTCGTTCTCTTTGTTGGCAGTTCCGAAGTCAAGCTTCTTCACAGGGGAGTCCATCTTGAGGGATTCCATGCCAGTGGCAGCCTATGGTGACACGAGTTAGCATTAGACTCGAACGTATGGACGACTTGAAAGGAGGACGATAGGTCGAAGGGGTGTGGCGAGGACTTACTGCCTTGGAAGGAGTGACAATGGAAGTCATATTGAAGTATTGCAGAGTTGAATGATGAATGAGGAATATTGTATTCGGTTCAGGAAGGATTGGGATTGGGATCGTGAAAGCAGGAGAGAGGTAGTAGTTGTTGTTGATGGGAACGGGTGGTTCGAGGAGGGCGGAAGAAGCCTCTTAATAGCAAAAAGACACCGCGTATCTGGTCCGTGCACCGACTAAAGAAAACACGCTAAAGACAAACGCGTCGAGGCCAGAAATTCGGCTGAATCAAAGAGGCTGGGAGTCGGGAGTCGGGAGTCTAGTCTTGGCTTAACCTCTCACGGGCCCGGATCTAATCTTGCTTTATCAGATCTTAATCCCGGAGGCAGGAAGGCAGGAGGTTGGCGACAGGAGTGGATATAATTGATATAGTGGATATTGGTAGTCATGACTTGGAGAATCGTCAGCTGTGAGAGGCCGAATGGTCTTGTGCCATGCCAAAGCTGGAATTTTAATTTTATTCAGATACAACTACGTAGAGGTTGGATGTTTTGTCTGCTAGATTTAGCATATGAACCGATCCCGGAGCTAACGGTCGTGCTCCTGGTGGAGCCAACGTGATTACGGACGCGCTACTTATCCATCAAACTTCGACCCCTTGTTAGGCATATCTGAACGCGAATACCGGCACAATTCAGGTCCGTTAGAATAAATGACTCGTAAAGCTTCCATTGTTGGTTCCACTCTCATCTTTTACTCGCGGGTATTCTCTAACATCAGACATCAAATCGCTACATAAACATCGCATAAAACACCACCCAACCTCATCACACCGTATCATACCATCCCTCTGGAAAAAATCAACGCCTGCCCTTCCGCGAGGTAGACTTGTTGCCCCGAGTTTCATTGTCATATGCGGCTTCGGGCCTTCGCACCTCATATCCCATCTCGGGATCTTGTATCCTCTGCTTGCTGCCCCCACCCCTTACACCATGGTCATGCTGCTTTGGAACTTTGCCTGTGCCATGTCGAGTTGACGCTTGATTTGCATAGTGAGGAGGTGGATTTTCGTCGCTGCTTTGTACATCGAATACATCGGGATCGCTAGGGTCGATGTCAGGAGCGATCTGACCTCGTGCTTCGAGACTCTTCGCTCCCTTCTCTCTCAGGTAATGCTCCAGGATGACGGCGTTCTTGGTATTGGCCCGGAATAAGGCATCTACGATATCTCCGAGGAAGGGTACCAGTCCGACGCCGAAATCTACGATGATGTTCAATATCATTTTCATCTTGACGTCTGATGGTAGGCCACCTTCAACCTGCGTGCATGTTCGGTAGACCATCAGAGCCATGAAGGCATCGATGGCATCTCCGATACTGAAGAGCAGATTTGTTAGTCTTTGGGGCTAGACCAGTGGCTGTGCGATGCGACCTACGCAGGTATGATTCCAATGACGGAACTCCAGCCAAAGCGGATTCCCAAGCAACTGAATAGACACATATCGAGGCGGTATGCGCGACGCTTGACCTTGGTAAGAACCTTTGCATCGTGAGCGGATATTCCTGGTGGCAAGGCCTTGCGCCTCTTCTTGATCTTTTTGGAAGGTTTGCCATCAAGACGGGTCGCCGGTACAGTCTCGAAGTAGGGATCCTAGAGCACGAAATGTTAGTTGAGATGGCATTCGAACTTTCGGGCAGAATAACAAACATCTTTGCCAAAGTTATTCTCAAGAGTCTCCCCCAGAATCTTCTTGCTTATGATCTTTGCGACGAAGCTTGCCATGATTGTGGTTGTAGAGTTCAGGTGCTGAAGGTGGACCGGGTAGTTATAGTTGTAGCTGTAGTTGTAAATGGACTGAGGGGATGCTTTGCTTTGATAGGAGAACAGCACAACAAAGCGATTTCCTTCACTCAGAGAGGACCAACCGCGCTTTACTGAAGAGGGAATACCTCGGGGTGAATGAATGAGTGGTATCTGCTACTCCTCTCTGAAACGGTTGTCGTTGTCGCGCGTATGGTAAGAAGGGGCGAATGTCTGGCAGCGTTAAGCGCGAGATCAGTGGAACACGGCCGTGAATCACTGTGAATGAGGGAAGGAATCAGGGTTTGTTATATACGGAGTACGAAGGTGAGAAACTGGCTTAGGCTTGAAGAGTTTATTAGCTAGCTATCTCAGGCACGCACTTGGTTGGATATTTGCAGAACCAAGATGGTTTGGCGCGCGATCGTGAGGTCTGCGCCTCCACCCTTTGCCACAACGTCATTGTTACGGTGACATCCAAACATGAGAGAGAGAGAGCACTTGGCAGCTTAACTGGATCCCGGCGATCGGATTGGATTGATTAGTAAGCAAACCCCACCTTACCCCCTGCCGGCCCCAGCCACTTTCCAAGCCTCTGTGGCTGTGGCTAAAGCCTTTTGTGCTAGTACGTAGACGGTACGCTAAAGACTGACTCGAAACAACTTCCGATCCATCAGTCCTCTTCCGCGACATCAGATCCGATCGTCTCAACTTTATTCAACGTCCGTACAACCCTCCACAACAAACCCCTTGGAACCCTATCTGCAAACTGTCCCATTTCGCCACGACCTCCTATCCCTCGGAATACCTTGGACTCTCGGGTACTAGCTGTACCTGCCGCCTCTCTGGCTTGATTTTCCCGGCTCCCTTGGCACAGTTGAGTCGTGGATATGCTGAGAACGAGGCATCATGACAGAATTAAATATGCAACTAGAAGACTGTAAGTGTTTCGAGCTCCAAAGTGGTATTCTTGCGATCATGCCATGCTTGATAACCCGCCCACTTCTATCTGCTATCCGATTACTTCGCAGCTTTATCGCGAGAGCCATAGTTAACAAACTTGATCCAGGGCTCGACGATCTCTGCGTCCGATTTATTCTGAACCTCCCGCTGGCTGATCTAGAATCGATTGAGCGGATATGTTTTCAAGTCGAAGAAGCCCAATGGTTCTACGAGGACTTCATCCGTCCCCTCGACCCCGCCCTTCCATCCATGTCCCTCCGCCATTTCTGTGAAAGAATATTCTCGCACTGCCCATTGCTTTCCGCTTTTTCTCAAGGAGAACACATGAAAGCTTTTGAGCAGTTCATGGAATACAAGGCCCGCATTCCCGTAAGAGGTGCCATCTTGCTGAACGAGGAAATGGACTCTGCGGTTCTGGTCAAGGGTTGGAAGAAAGGCGCAAACTGGAGTTTCCCTAGGGGAAAGATCAACAAAGACGAAGACGACATGGTTTGCGCTATCCGAGAGGTTTACGAAGAGACTGGGTACGATCTTGTGGAAGCCGGGCTAGTTCCGGAAGGCCGAGATGTCAAGTCAATTGAGGTTAACATGCGAGATCAACAAATGCAACTTTTTGTCTTCAAGGATGTACCGATGGATACCTACTTTGCGCCACGAACACGCAAGGAGATCAGCAAGATCCAGTGGTGGCGCCTCTCTGACCTTCCAGCGTTCCGAAAGAAAGGCCAGGCAACCACCCAGGGAGTTGTGAATGCCAATAAGTTCTACATGGTGGCACCATTTCTCGTGCCTCTCCGTAAATGGATCTTGGAAGAGAAAAAGAAAGGGACAAAGAGACGTCTAAGCAAGCAATACCTGTCTACTGGTGACGAAATATTTACAGAAGAAGATCAGGGCGTGGATTCAGCTGGCCCAGGGCAGACTGATGACGGCCTCCACCGTGGCATGCCAGATCAGAGTAGTCTGGAGGATGCAAGCGCTGCTCTGAATCGTCTTTTGAAGATACAGCAGCCTCAAGAGCTGCAAGCTGAACCAACTCCCGTTCCTCAACCTGTAAATAAGGTCGGCAACGCGTTGCTTGCCTTACTTCACAACAAGCCAGCTACTGCGAACGAACAAATCCCCAAAGTCGCACCGCCTCATACACCAATGGACCATGCCCGTGCTCAACCTCAGATGCCTCCGACACCTCACCACTTCCCACCCAGGCCTCCGCAGTTCTCCAGCATGCCACCTCCGCCTACTTTTCCATTCCATCCCCAGCAGCAACAGGCTGAGACGTTCTCCCATCAGTTGCCCAACCTCTCGCCCCAGTATCCTAGACACAACTCTCACCAGAATTTCCCGCCCCACAAGCCAACGCCACAACGGACTCAGAACCCACACATCCACCAGTCTCAGCATCTGGTTCACCCGCAACCACTCCCTCCGCATGTTCAAAGAGCTGTCTTTACTGGAGGCCCTGCTCATGCTCCCATGGTACCTCCACCTCGAGAAACACAGCCGCCACAGCATCATCCAACTGTCCCCGTAGCACTGCCTAGCCCAATGTTTCCTGGCTTGCACTCGACCATGGTCCCACCACAGCCGAAGCAGACACCACCAAAACTCACCAGTCATTCATTGGCTCTTCTCAATGCTTTCAAGATACGAGATCAGGCAGCCAGCGAGGCTCCTGCTCCGCGTGATCTCCCCTTGAGGCAGTATGCTTCAGACATCCAAACCCCTCGAGCGCAGCCGATGCCTCAAGAACTACCCGCGGATGCTTCTCAGAATTCCCAGGAGCCCCGTCGTCTGCGAGTTGGACAGCCCCAAAACGGCCACCCAGGAGCTGCTCCTCCAAGTGCGGCTGCCAGACCAGCAATCAGTGACACTCAGAAGTCAACTCTGCTCGGTCTCTTCAACAGCCCTAAAATTCTAGCAGCGGTGCCTGCAGGACCGCTTAGTGCGACAGCATTGCCTCCCAGCTTAACTCCTTCTGCAGTGGAGCTGTCAGCCGTGGAACCATTATCCACCAATGCTGCGGTCACATCTGCTCTCCTCAACGATAAGCGAGTTCCAGATCAAGCCGCGAATATTGGTACCAAGCTGGCTCTACCACCAGGCTCCCAGCTTCCTTTCAGACCCGCCACAATTCTTGCTCGGCCTGTGGAGTTGAGCGAGGAAGAACGCGCCGGGAAAGACGGCTCCGCGCCGAAGATGCGCTCGAACGGAAAGAAGGCAACACCAGTGTCAAAACGCCATGTATTACGCGCGGAGAAGTCATTATTCCAGCCTCAGATACTGAAACGGCCGCAACCAGCCGTATCGAAAACGCCTGATGATTCAACTCTACAGCAGCCAAGTTTCCCAGTACTCGCTCAACCCTCATTTGAGCGACCAGCGAGTGCAACAGACCATACACAAACCTTACTCTCCTTGTTCCGCAAAGTCCCTGTTGGCGCGACTCCTCTTTCTCAAGGGCCATCTGACGAGAAACTTATTTCGATTTCCTCTGTTGATCCAATGCCGGGACTGGCGTCGAGAACGAGAGTAGGAAGTCTCGCGTCTATGGAAATGGGTCCACGGCGTGGCAGCCAAACTCCTATATCACCTGCAGACACGGGGTTTCTGCTCAATTATCTGGATGCAGTTGCAAATGGAGTTCAGCGATGATGATGTATGACTAGGCTTAGCCATCAGACATGAGCGATGGAGTTACAGCGCGAGGGTAACGAGGATGCATTTTGGCGTGCAAATGGCATGGACGAATATTCAGAGGACATTTAGCCCAGGTACTGGGAAGGTCGTGGGCGGGGGGGTTATGGCGAGGTAGCTATGATTGATCCAAACTGTAGCCTACCGACACATATTTTTTGCTCTATAATTGTACTTTGCTACCAGTCCACTTCGTAGCATATTTGTTCCATCCTTTCTTCCAAATGATACTTCTTCCACGCCTGCGCAGGCAAATAAGATTGGTAGGCCAGAACCAAATCAACCGATCAAAGCTCGCTAGAGCACGGGTAAAGGCTGACAAGGCTGAGAAGTCGCAGCGCGGAATTTTGTCGCCTCGCCTCAAATCGAGGAATCCTCACACAAGTAGCTCAAGCTTCTCCTTCCACACACAGAGCTCACGGCTCATAGCATCCCAACCCATTCATTATGAAAAGCTCACACGCAATATTACGAATACTCTCCCAATCGCCAATATCATACATATGCAGCAATTGCCTCTCCCGCACGCTGTCTCTCGCCACCAAAACCACTCGCCTCTACTCAACGTCAACATCCAGTCCTCCGTCCAAACCTCCCCCTTCCAAACCTCCCCCATCAGCAGCCTACGCCCACCTCTCGAACCGCCGCCTTATCGCCCTCACCGGCCCAGACTCAACACACTACCTCCAAGGCGTCATCACAGCGAACCTCTCCCCGAACGCCCCGCGCACGAGCGGGTTCTACGCCGCGTTCCTGAACGCGAGTGGGCGGCTCCTGAATGACGTCTTCGTATACCCTTACGTTGATGGAGGCGGAGGCAAGTATGGAGCGGAAGGAGGAGGAGGCTGGCTGATCGAGGTTGATGCTAAAGAAGTGGATGTGCTGGCTAAGCATATCAGGCGCTACAGGCTGAGGAGTCGGTTCGAGGTTCGGGTGCTGGAGGTGGGGGAGCGGGGGGTGTGGAGTCTATGGGCAGACGGCAATCACGATAGCAATGGTAATAGTGACGGCGATTTTAATGGTAATGGCAGGAACTGGACGAAGGGTGTTATCGGATGCGAGGACTCTCGCGCCCCGGGCATGGGGAGGAGAGTGCTGCTTCCTGGCGATCGGAAGCCGGAGGCTGACCGCGAGGAATGCACCGAGGAGGTCTACAGGCTGAGGCGGTATCTGAAGGGTGTGCCGGAGGGCCAGGACGAACTGGTGAGGGAGCAGGCCCTGCCACAGGAGAGCAATGTCGATTATATGGGTGGGATTGACTATAGGAAGGGGTGTTACGTTGGTCAGGAGCTCACGATACGTACCCATCATCGCGGGGTAGTGAGGAAACGGATCTTGCCTGTGATGATATACGGGGTTGACGAGAAGGAGCCGGAGGTGCTGCAGTATTTGGGTGGTGGAGGGGGGCTGTGGGGGGCTGAGAGTATTCCGCGGGAGACAGGAATTGGGAGGTGGGAGAAGAAGGGGAGGAGCGCGGGGAAGTTCCTGGTCGGTCTGGGGAATGTAGGGTTAGGACTCTGTAGGCTGGAGACCATGACGGATGTGCAGTTGGCGCAGGGCGAGGGTATTTCTAAGGGGGAGGGGGATGAGTTTAAGCTTGAGTGGGAGCAGGAGGGGGAGGGAAGGGTAGTCAAGGTTAAAGCGTTTGTGCCAACATGGCATTTGGCGAGGAGTAACTAGATAGAGGTTACGGAATGGAAGATGCAGGATCGAGGAAGGCATATACACGACTAGGCCGAGGGGGAAGATGGCTGTGCTGTAGAGCTTTGAGGTAAAGAAAGGGCCGCCGTTACGGAACATACCACAGGTCATGACACCAATGTAAATTCGGGTCCGCGGTATTTGAAGGCACTTGTATTATGTATCGTGGGTATAGCAAAACGAACAAATCCTCTCCAACGCCAGCGCTAAAATCATCATGACCAAGCGAGGGAGTGTGTAGAGCTCACGCGGTTCCCGATTCCTGCTGCCGAATCTCCTCTTCCATCCTCTTCTTCTCCGCCTCTTTCAATCTCGCCATCGTGGCCGCAAAGTCGTTCCGCTTCGGCGTCGCTATGCTAGGCGAGAAGGAGAATTTCGGAGATGCTGAAGACTGTTCGTCAGCTTTCAATCCTCTGAAGATATCGGGACGTTTGATAGGTGTAGCTGTCTCCGCGCCCATCTTCGTCTCTCCCGTCTTGCCTGCGGGCGACTCGGCAGGAACGAAGATTCCACTCTTCCTGGCTTTCTTGTCTGCTTTCCGCTTGGCTTTTGCAAGTTCTGCTTCGCGAATCCGGCGTTCGAGGCGGACCACTTCATCTTCCTCTTCCGGTTCTTGTGATTTTTGTGTTTTTTCTTCGGGAACGAGAGTCGGTTCCGGTTCAGCGTTCCGATTTGGAGGCGCAGGCGAGGAGGCCGCATTCTCGGCCATCATCGACTGCCGAGCAGCCCTCCTCTTCCTCCCCTCCTCAGCCAATTTCCTCATTTCAATCCCCATATCCGTCTCCCCTTCCTCCCTCCCCCTTTTCACCCCACTCGTCCCACCTCTCTCCCTCGCCTCCAGATCCTCCTTCATCTGCCTCCTCTTTCCCTCGAACAGCTCATTCGCCCTCTGCTTCTGCAGCTTCGCATTCCGGTGGTTGTCATACTTGGCTTTCAGCTGCGGGTCACTCAGGACATCGTTCGCTGCTTGGAAGAGCTCGTATTTGTCCGGGTCGAAGTCCTTGCCTACTTTGTCCGGGTGGTACTTCAGGGCGGTTTTGCGGTAGGCGCGCCGCAGTTCAGACTCTGAGCAGGCTTCAAAGGTGACACCCAGGAGGGCGTAGAAGTCTACGTCACTGGTTGTCCATTTGAGAAGGTCGTTGTTGGCCATGATTTTTCCGGGTTGATTGAGGAGGGAAAGAATTCATGTATGATTACGGGATTGAAGTTCAATTTGCATGTAGACTAGTGCTCGCTGACACATACCCCGTGACATTGCGCTAGTTTAGTCCCGCGCTAAAGAATTTCGCAGGTACTTAAACTCACTCTCTCCTTCAATCTCCCTCTTTTCTTCTTCATACTTACCTTCTTGCAAGCATGCCGCTCATGAATGGCTTTGCTTACGATACGAAACCTCCATTGCACATCGGGGCGTTGAGAATCGTTGAGTATGTTTCGGCATCCTCAGCGGGGGAATTTTTGATTGCTTTCCAGGCATAAGAGTTGCCTTCTTTCATTATGATCATCGCCGTGCGCGGTGGCATGAAGAAGAGAGGATGAAGTAGGGAGCAGCTACGCTTTTGGCATGGCGACCGAAGCTGCGGTCAGCGTCGCCCCCTCCGTGCCCCCCCCCCCTCGTTTGCACTCCCATCTTATGCTGACTGCAGAGGATTTCTTGATGGAGGATCTGAGGTTATCGCGTTGTATTTGATGTATTTAATATTGTGCGTCACCCTCCTACCGCCGCAGCAAAAATGATGCCTCATCAAATGCTCGTGGCCTCCAACCTTGTCGCCGACCCATCCCGCCATTAGCAAGGTGACTCGGCAACGTCATGGAATGCGCTCCATGCCTTTTTCCAATGCTGTACTGCATTCTGTTACTTTGTTCAGAGAAATGCCGATGTGGAAGAGCTTTTTGGCAGCATTACGCCCTCGCTCTCTCCAATCTCGGGGTGAACGGCCGTACGCTTATCTAGGTATTTCGTTGCATATGGATATCCATCCGCTCCGACTTTCAGGCCTGCATCTGATATTTTGCACGATGGCACCGTAGCCTGACTTCCGACAGTGAATGAGTGCTCGAGTTTTCCAACAGTGTCTTGGTTGTACCTCGCATTCAATGTCGAACTCGGCTTCGGACACTCAAAGTCGTCTGTCTTGATATCAAGGCCCAGCAAACCAAACCACCTACCCTGCCCGATGAATTGATTCATCCCTCGGCTCACACTTTATTGCATATTGCCCCAATAGTCTTATCGGCTCTGGAACTTGGAGCAGGGCATTGAGGACTATGAACTCCCGACGCATCCGGTAGATGACCTTTGTGCCTTGTGCTGCAAAGTTGACCCGGGATAGTCAACGTAATCACTGAAAATAGGATCCGGAAGAAGATGAATACATCAATTTCGTACAACGGGTGTTCCTCTCCATGTCTTGAATTCCCTTTGCTTTTGTTTAGTGTGTTTGGTGACATACAGCGACTGTCTGCTCCGTGTGTTTTCTCTTCTTTCCCGTCACATCGCATAAAAATTTCAGCGCCCAAGTTTTTACGCAACTCTATGTTGGTTCACTCGCAATACTCTAAACTGCGAGCCCCTCTTCTTCAAATCTTGGTGAATCCTTGTGGCACACTGTTGCGTAGCACTGTTGAATGAGTGGATTTGGAAGCCAGTATGCCAGAGACGGATAACTCGAATCGGGACAAGTATCTCGTAGTATCAACGAGTCTAGTTATTTCAATCTGCATACAAAGAAAAGATTTGACCAAACTATAAAGCGTATGATGAATCTCAAGTAAAAGCTTCAAGTGCCAATATCCTCTCTATATATCAGAACCTCCGATGAGTTACTGGCGGCCAAGTAGGAAACTGATTACTGAATGCGATCTTAAACGAGATCCAGGGAGATTCAAATCATCAAATCGGTGGGACTGAGAGGTTCTATATTGAAATCATTTGTGTAGTCGATGTCGCTATTCTTTATGAACATGATAGCCTTGCACTGCAAAGTTGATTTAGCCAACATGCTTCTTGTAGCAGGTATTCTCGTGGATTCTCTAGCTAGCGTCTCGGGTCTAGCTGCTTTCATTCCAACCATTCTTTACCGACAGCAATTCTCGTTCACCTTCGAACAATTGCCTTGTCGGAAATAGCCAACTTCACCTCAGCTGTTAGCTTAACCACAAGATAGCTAGCGCCTCATAGCCGACTTCCAACCACAATCTTTAGGTCCACAAAACAGATCGATTCAGATGAACCTCTACCAATAGGATACTCGACAACTCAACAGCTTGACAACCCGACAGTCAACACCACTTGCAAAGATGGGGAACGGAGCTACGGCGGTGTACCTGTCCTTGCACTTTCCTGCTCAAGGCCAGTCAGAGTTCAGCGCCCTAGTCTGCGAACGTGAATACCTCGAGCTCGTCCTGGGCTTTATTGAATACAGGAAGGGGGTCACGAGTAGAAGCTCTATTAACGTTGAAGTCATGGCAGATGTTGCTGTCCAAGCTATGGCTAACAACGACCCACGCTTCTTGACTGGCCCTCCCACCTTGCACGGAGGCCTCTGTCACCTAGAAATCTTGGCTAGATTCACCGTGCTACTTGTGTTGCTGTTGAGACGCCCTGGCGAGCCATGGAAGGACAAGCAGAATCATGAGATGAAGGAGATGTGCTGTAATGCTTTTGCTCTGTTCAGGTTCTGCGAGAAGAACTTTGGGGGAAAGCAGGCAGAGAGATCGAAGCTGGTGAGAGAAATTGTGGCTGCTGCTGCAGATTTTGGCGTCGCGATTGGCTTTAATATTGGGTATGGCGTCTGTTGAAACGGTTAATGACGAATATAGAGCTAATGGAAACAGTTCCCAGCCCTTGGTTGCAAGTCAGACACCAACCCCAGCACTATTAGGCCAAGCACCAGGTCAAGAGATAGCAGCGCAGAGCAGTCAAAATGGCAACTTTGAACAGTCATACACGTATGCCTCCAACTCCTACCAGAACATGCAGCCATACCCCTCGATGTACGAAGATCAACAAGCCGCGCCAGGTCCGCACGTCACCAGCTACGACCAGCAATTTGATCCAACTATCTCCTCGAAGAAACGCAAATACGACGCACAATACTTCACTCAGCAAACTGGCCACAGCCTCTCTTCGAACCCCTCGAACCTGCCATACAATGCCCCCGCTCCAGACCAGTACCTCCAGGCCATACAACCCATCAACCTCTTCAAAATCAAGCACGACAGCATGGTCACGCGCTACGGATACCGCGAAAGCCTCGGCTTCTTCAGCAAGTCCGTCGTCTTCCTCTACGTCCAGATCCAAGACGGCAAGCTCGACGGCAGCTACACCTCGCTCGACAAGTGCGCCCTGCTGTACGTCGATTACAAGGTTCTCCTCCTCAAGTACCTGGACTCCACCGGCCCCATGCCAGAGGACTTCCTGATCTGGCAGGCGCGGTTCAAGGGGAGCGGCAACGATTACGATACGGTCAGCTGGGCGTGGCTGTCGCTCGTGATGACTTCGACGGTTGGTCAGCAGACGCTGAAGGAATACCAGGACGAGAAGGCGATGCGGAAGGCTGCTGTCGAGGCGGGGTGGGCGTTTTTGTAAATCGTGAGATGAGTGTGTACGGTTTGAACTTGGTTTGGACTGCTTTCAAACTCGCGATATGTTAGGACTGGGCTTTTTTGTATGTTTGTTTTGTGATACCCTTGAATGTTCAGCGAAGGAGTGGCCGTTGCTGCGGCAGATATTAAGTCAATAAAATGCAGAATTCAGATACATTTCCGTTTTCTTCTCATTGTCTATTTGATGCGTGAAAAAAGCCTAGTTTGTTTGGTTGTTTCGGGTCAAGCCGACGGTGACCGAATTTTACTATCCTGAGACAGAATAGATGGAAACCGAAGAAAGTACAGATCTTTTTCGGGGGAAGAAGATCCTTCCAGACCCTTTCTATAAAATTCCGCGCCTACACAACTAACGAATAGGTAAGAAAATTCTTATCTCATAAATTGTAGCTTCCTCAATTCCTTCGGCCATTTTCAAACAAACCACGTCCAGCCTGCTAAGATCTCTCATCTTTTCCTCAGAAGCAAAACTTACATTTTAGACTTCAAAGATAGATATCATAGATCTAGAAGCTGAGATGAATATAATTCCTTTTCAATACTCAGCAGGAAGACTACATCGCCCTTGATAGACATAGAAACGGGATTCATACAATTCACTAAGGAAAGAGGGGGAGGGTAGAATTGTTTGTCTATCCCCGCCGGGCCAGACAGCTAGCTAGCTCACAACGGACTCGATTATTTTTTCAATACACACCACATACCACCTGAATCCCGACGGAACCCGGAGAAAAACAATCACCAACATTTCCAGAAAACAAATAGCAGTGGGCATCTATTCTCGACCTTATCCAGCCAGCAAGCACCCAGCCCAGCCCAACCCGCCGCGCCCCACAACACCAGGAAGCGAACTACGGAACCCAGCCTACCAGCACAATACACAACACCACCATAGCCTTTCCTCTCCTCTCCTTGCCATCTCGACCGAACCTATAACCTACAACCCACTAGTCCAGTGCATATCTTCAACCAACCAATCCAATCGTCTACTTAAATATAGACACACACAGCGAGCGAAATAGCCAGTCCTTCCTTCTTTCTTTATCTTTACCTTGAGACTAAGAAGAGGAAGAGGAAGAGGGAGGAATAAGCGAGAGGGATGTCAATAAAAGAACACACCCACCCTACAACTTTTAACCTTCAACCTTCAACCTCCGCAGCCATCCCCCTAAACTAAACAGAACAAAACTTAACAAAACAAAAAACAAAAATATGAATATGAATATGAATATGAATATGAATATGAATATGAATATGAATATGAATATGAATATGAATATGAATATGAATATGAATATGAATATGAATATGAATGTAATCAAGAAGAAGCCACCAAGCACCTTAACACGCCCCTCCCCAAGACAGAATCGCCGATAGGTCATAGCAAGAGTCCTTTAGCCGAGTGACCAACAATCATGTACATATACACACAAATACACATACACACACACACACACACATATATACATCTAGTTTTGCGCAAATCACCAACCAACCAACCAACCAACCAAAAACTCCAAATCCCCCCTCCTCTCTCCTCCTCCATCCTGCCAAAGCCAGCCTAAAGTACAGACAGGCCTTACTTACATCAATCAGGATGAGCCAAGACCCTGCTTCTCCGTCGCTGGCTTCACCCCTCTTTACACGCTCTACTCTACTCTACTCTACTCTACTCTACTTTACTTAACTTACTTGCTACCTATATATACAACGTGGTACACAGTCCGTCTATCTGTCTCCGCGCAGAAAAAAAAAAAAAAAGGAGATCGATCCCCTTCCCCTTCTCTTTCCCCTTCCACTTCTCAACAGCGAGAAGATGCCAGGCTAGTAGTTTACTTAATCAGTGCATTGCATTCGGAGACTAGACCAGACCAGACCAGACCAGACAGAAGGGCCGCGAGGGAATGCTAACGTACTCACTCACTTACCTACTTACTTACTCACCTACCCACTCGCTCACCCGGCTCTTCCCAGGTGCTTCCGTTCATGGTTTCGTCGGTACTAAAGCAAAGTAAAGCAAAGCAAAGCAAAGCAAAGCACCAAAGGCGGCTATTCACACAGTAGGTCGGTCGGTCACTTAGCACACACACACACACACACCTAGCGCAGCCAGGCAAGAGAGAGAAGAAAAAAAAAAAGAAGAAAACAAATCAAAGGAACAAAAACACAAAACAACAACAACATAGACCACAATCACAACCACAATCACAATCAACCAGTCCAACCCCCACCAATTCTCGCATCATCCATCAATCCATGAATGAATCGACGAATAAAATAATCCAAGCAAGCAAAGTTCTCCTAGTTCCTGTAACTCCTTGAAAAAGTCTCAGAAGAAGAGAAAGGAAAAGAAAGAGAGGGAGACGACTCGCTAGTATTATAGTCTCTTTCATTCTGTTATGTTCCGTTCTGTTCTTTTCAGTTCCGTTCTGTTCAATTCCGTTCTGTTCAGTTCCGGTCCGTTCCGTTCCGTTCCGTTCCGTTCTTCTTCCTGTCGATTTCCCTGCTGTAGAAAACAGAATAGGAGAGAGTAAGTAAGTAGGTATCGAAAACGCCAAACCCCCCCCTCCCCCCTCCCCCCCATCCCTCCTTTCCTTGCCGTTGCAGGCCGTCCCTGTCCCCACCCGTGTTGTTGTATGTACAATTAATTAATCATTACTCAGACAATCATGACCATCTCCTTTTCTCTGCTGGCGGGCCTGCCCGACACAGGGTCCACTCACACACCTCCTCGCTTATCCCCTAACGCTCATCTCATCTCCTGCTGCAGGTTCTCATTCCCATAATCCACCGAGATCTTCCTCCTCGTCAGGTGCTCGCTCGCACCCCGACCTGCGTTCCCCCCACTCCCACTCCCGCTCCCACCACCCCCCACCTCCACAGGACTCTGCAGCACATCCGCCTTCTCGGCCTGCATCGTCTCCCGATCCATAACGCGCGGCCGATTGAGCAACTTCTGAATCTCGCCTTCCCTCCTCGCTTCCTCTTCCCGACTGCTCTTCTGCTGGTTGAAAGTGACAACATTCTCGCCCTGCTCGTCCCTCTCCACCGCCTCCTCAAACTTCCTCCTCACACCGGGATCCCTCTGGAGCTCCTGGAAGAGATCTACGTCCGTCGGCCAGAATGCTTTCCGCACACTGCTGACACCCAGCTCTAACAGCACGACAGCTGCGAGGGTGAGGAACAAGACGAGCCACCAGAGGAGGTTGCGGCCGTAGCCTTTGGTGAAGCCGTCTTTGATGGAGTAGAGCGGGTAGGTCTTGTTGTGTGTGAAGACGACTGAGAGGAAGAGCGTCCAGAGGAACCAGCCGGCTACGGAGATCGCCCAGCCCAGGAAGGAGATAACGGTTTTGTTGTGCATCTCGATGAGACTGTTTATGGGGTTATGTTAGCCATGGTTGACAAGTAGGGATGCGAGGAAAGGGGTGAGCAGGACGTACAGGAGCTTTGTGTTGATGAATACCACAGAGGCTGAAAAGGCAAGCGTGCCCATGGCGAGCAGGTTATCGTCGCGGGTAAAGATCGCTCCACCAAAGAGCGCATAGATAGAGAAGTAGATGATGACAGACTCTGAAATCGCCATGAGCATCCACCCGAAATACACTTTGAAGTTAAACGCCGAGTTATTCTGCGCAGTGACGTAAAGTTCTGGTACTGCTAGCAATGTGCTTGCGTTAAGATCCTGCTCGAACATGCCGAGAAAGATGACGCAGAGGGAGGTGAACAGCGTGTTGAATACCGTCAGGGATGTAGACTCGAAGAGGGAGGTTCCTGTATATCCAACCCACCTCTGATACAGGGCTTGGAGTAGGTAGAACACGACCTCTTTCCAGAAGGTTGCCAGGATGTATTTCGCTGTTCGCACGTAGTTCCATCGTCCATGGACGAAGAGAAGGCGCTGCAAGAATCGGAACTGTGCGATCGAGTAGTCTGCAATACGAGCAGCTTGCAACCCCTCCTTTCCACTAATACCAATTCCGACATGAGCATCCGTAATCATGGCAATGTCGTTCGCGCCGTCGCCGATGGCCAGGGTAAGAGACTTCTTGACTTTGGTCCGCACTCTCTTTACTAGAGAGGCTTTCTGGCTCGGGCTGGCTCGACAGCAGATAACTGAATCCACAAGAACGACAAGGTCGAAAAACAGCAAGGCCAGCGTCTCATTCACATCAATCTCAGAGAGCGTCTGTCCATCGACGACAACAACGGAATGGGCAACAGATCCTTTAGTGATATCCATCAAAGTGGTTGCCATGAGCTGTTCAACGTCGCCCGTATTATGATCTAGAATGATAATGGTCGAGTAGCTCTTGCAAATCCGAGCGCTGTGCCCGATATTGATGGCCGTCTCTCGCTTGTCGCCGGTAAGCATCCATATTTTGATATTCGCCCGCCTCAACTTGTCGATCGTCTCAGGGACGCCTTTCTGCAGCTTGTCCTCGATGGCAGTAGCGCCTGCAAGGTCGAAGTTCTGCTCGATTAGCTCTCCAGCATGCTCGATCAAGTTCTGACGGTCCACTAGGCTGGTTGTGGCATCGACGTATACTTTCTTCCAACCTGAGATTTGTTAGCATGAATTTCTCATCGTGTACTCCGGAGAACGAAGATGTTGCCTACCTCCATACTCCCCCTCGTCCAAGAACCGATATCCAAAGAGCAATGTCCTCAACCCCTCGGAGGCAAAGTCGTCAATATGCTGAAAGCACCTCTCGAACACCATCGCCTCATCCAGCACCACGCCTTCATCAATCATCTCATCCAAGTGCCTCTCCAACACCGGAATACTCATTGTCGAGCCGATGCGGTCCAGAGATGCAAATGAGGCCCTGCCAGTCGAATACACCCCTGTATCATCGACGGGATCACCGTCGGTTTCTTGCCTCCGAATCCAGGTATCTAGCTCGTCGCGAACAGGAATAGGCTGTATTCGCGCGCTCGCCGTGCTGGACCGTCCGTGTCCGATACTTTTACGGGATGCATGCATGCTGGGGCGAGAGAGGCTGACGCTCTTTCTGCTGATGCTTACACGAGGGCTAAAGCTAGGGCGTGGGCTACTCTCGCTCATTCTTCTCAGTGCCTCCCCGGCTTCTAAGTTCTTAATCACATTCGAACGGTTCAATACCTCTGCCTTCTTTTGCATCGCCATAGGCGCAAGCTTGAGACGCGGCATGATAGCCGAGTCGGCTCCTTTGCAAAAGATACATATTCTGCCATTAGGGAAGCGAACGATAATCGACATGCGTTTTCGCTTGCTGGAGAACTCAATAACATCGAGGATATCGTAGGTTTCTGTAACTGTCTCAGAGGAGTCTGGGCCGCTTGAATGCCTTATAGTGATAGATTTCGCAGATCTGTCAATGACAAGATATTCGAGTTCCTGAGCAGCTTTGACAAGAGCCAGTTCATCGGGAGAAGCAGCCTGGAATTCAATGTCCCCATTCTCCTTCACCTCGGGCAGACACGTATGGCACAGCGCCAGCGAGAGCAGGAAGAACTTCGCCTTCTTCGTAAACACACTATGTGGGTTATGGTGCATGAACTTGAGCAAGTCTTCTGTCCGCGTCTCTGGCTGGGCTTTTGAAGGTCGTGCTGTCGACTTCCACTGCTTCACGGAGCTAGATCTGCGGATCGATTTGGAAGGACGGACTGTAGAACTTGACAAGGCGGACATTCTTCGCTCGTCTGCTGGTCGGGCAGGAATTGTCATCTGGACAACGTGTTTCATAATGCCTTTGCCCTTCTTCTTCTTGCTTTCCACAGCGGCCGCCTGAGCGTCTTCGAGCTTGGCGGCTTCTTCCTGCAAATCGAAGTCGTGGAGCCAGGTGTAGCCAGCAACGCTGAGTTTGCGGAATTTCATGATGTTATCTGTCAACGTTCCGGTCTTATCGGAAAAGATGTAATTGACTTGACCCAGGTTTTCCAGGATGGTAGTGGTCTAAATATTGTCATATCAGTACGAACTTCCAGGGGGAAAAGCCAGCAAAGCTCACGTTGCAAGTCATCGGCGTATCCGACACCGGATCATACATTTCAACATCCCCCATCAAGTAAACTTGCCCAACCTTAACGATCTCCAAACTGACATACAGTGACAGTGGAATCAGCGTGTTGTAGAGGATCACGAACCCAACAATGATCTGATGCAAGGGGACATGTAGTCCTTTCAAATACCATGCCTTCTCCTCGGTCTTATCGGTCCAAATCTGGTATGCGAGGGTACAGAAGAGAGCGAGGAAGACAACAAAGAAGAAAAGCAAGATAACAATCTTGTTGGTGAACGCCTGGAGAGCTGGTGCTTTGGTTCGAGGATTTTTGTTAGCGTTCATGCGGATCTTGCACTCCTCGCCTGTGTTGACCACGATTCCCACAGCCTGCGCTGTATTCCGCAACGTGCTGCCTCGGAAAATAACCTCGTTGGTCGTCAACGGCAGCGTCTCCTTATCGACCGTCACTCTCCCGTCAAAATTATACAAATCTATATTCGGATCCTCGATAACCAAGTGTGCTTGGCAGGTTGCAATGGCGTCCTCAGATCCACAGCGTTTAGCCAGAGGCGGAGGCGCTTGTTTGGATTTGAGATTAGTTTCGCCATCAAGTGCCATAGTTTCGATGTAAGCGACACCGTTGGGGCCAGAAGCTGAGAGAATCACAATGTCTGCTGGGACAGGGTCGTCGCGCCGGAGTTTGATGATGTCGCCAACTCTGATCGCATGCCACTTCAACTTTTTCCAATTCCCATCCTCTCTATCTTCAGCTCCATCAAGAGCACCTTCAAACTTAGCATGTTTCTTCTTCGGTACTAGAGCTTTCAACTTATTTCCCAGCTCGCCAGATCCAAACGCTTGCTCGGGTTTGAACCGACGCAGAACAAGCGTCTCCCGGTTGTTTTCGATCTTATCTAACTTGTATCTCCTACACTTTCAATTAGCATGTCCTTCATATCCACGTTCACAAAATCGCTTCGAAAGTAAGTTGAGTCCGTACCTCACATCGTCCCACCCCTCCTTCCCCATACTGATCGCCACAAAAACCAACAAGGGGGCAACGGTGGTGTAAGTGCCCGTTGTACTTAAGCTGGGAATCATCTGCAGTATAGAAATGACCAAAAAGTACGCATTCGCCAGCTTCGAGAATTGAAACCACAGTTGTCTTGGCAAGAAGTTCCAGACTGTATATCTGCTCGATCTGATCCAATTACTGATGTGTTCTTTGCCGGTTCGCTCGTCAATCACCGGACCAGCTCTTCTAATGCTGATATCGAGGTCGATGTGACGTCCGTCTTTAGAGGGCGTGATCGGATTTCGCCGTAGAATAATCATAACCATTTTGTCTTTCCATGCTTTGGCTCTTCTCACTGGAGCAGAAGATTGGATGCGTTTCCGGGCCCAGAGATCGTAGTTCCATAGGGTGGTAAGGCCTCCTTTCCCTCTCGACTGGGTGCCTTTCGTCGAGTTCTCCTCGAACGGGTACCGTCCTTCTTCTACAGCTGTAATTGTGGATATCGACATATGATGCCCATCCAAATTGCTTGGAGACACAGGGGCGGCACTCGAAAGCCTCTTGGCATATCTTTCCCTTTGTGCGGCCTGTCCATCATGTCCTCCTCCTGTCCCTTCTCCTGCTCCGCGATCTTGTTCTTGTTCCTGGCTTCCTCCAATTGGACATCCCTCAAGAAGCTCAATCCTCCCTCCAGCTCCCTCTCCCGGCCTGGGTGGCCTGTAATTCACGCTTCTGGCGAACAGAGCTCTGCGCAGGGAATACCCACGGTGTCTCGTCCGTGTCGGCGATGCAGACGGAAGCCTCATAGCATTATTCGCTCCAGAACCGTTACCGGAACTCCTCTGGGGTACTTGGAGAGCAGCTAGTGTATCATCGACTGAGAGATTCCCCATCCTGTATGGTTCTGCAGTCGATCTGCCTAGGTCGTGAGAGAAGCACACCCTGGGAGCAGCTTCTCTGCCATCTGCCATCGGAATCGAAGCCCCATCTACCAATTCCTCAGGATCCGTCGCAGCTCTGCTGATTCCTCGCTCTGGCGGGGACGAACCTGTCGCATCCGCATAATTATTATTCGCCATCTCAACCTGTGTATGGCGACGCTGTCGTCATCCCGGAGTGTTGCTGTCCAGCGGCTCAGGTCACCCCGACGCGACGCGTTCTCGGAGAGCTGCTCACACACAAAGATCAGACCGAGGCTTGGTGCCAAGTATAGACGCGGGAGTGTAAAGGCAAAAAAGGCTTTGTCTGGGACGCGCTCCGTGTCCTGGTTGTAAGTTATACAACTGATCGTGTTGAGGATGAGATGGGTGCTGTTATTATTTGAACTGTTTCAATAAAGGCCCACAGGGTATCAAAGTCTCAAAATATTCAAAGAGCAAGGTAATGTACGTACGTACGTACGTACGTGGTTCGTACCTGGTACCTGTCTACCGCATGCCTGTCTCCGTATTCTCGGTTGTTGGATCGATTACTGATTCCGCGATCGGCCCGTCAAAGCGAGGGCCAGTAAGTGCACCAGACCTCAGCAGACTTTCAGTAGGGGGATCTGGGGATTGTGCCTTGGCTCATGAGAATGCCACTAAGACGTTCGAGGATGGAATCATTTCTCGATTATCAATCAAATCACGAGTAGAGGAAGTGTTCAGTATTAGTGTTTAAGAGGTCCAGTGTTCCGAGGCAGTCAGGGCGGATCACCATCTTCTTCCTGTTGTCAGTACGGGTATCCAACGACAAACTCAAGCTACTTCATCGCCTCCTTATTGAGCATCATATACGGAGCCACGCCTATCCAAATCATGTAGGAGCAGTCTCGATAATGAATCTTCCATTATTAAGCCCAGGGTGATATCAACCACCCACAACATCAACTCAACACTACCTAAACAGACAAGTTCCCCCCCTCTCGCGTAGCATTTTCACAAACACCGGTGTATTTCCCTCCGACCACCTAGCCCACCAAGGATATCCTTCTTTTCTCGAAAAGCCTCAGCCAAAATGCGAGAAAATGTACTCGAAAACTCAAACATGTCTCTCAAACACGACAGCGACAGAAAAAGCGAAAAGATCGAGGAAGCGCGATCGCTGAGCCAGCCAAGCATGATCGAGTAGAATATATCGTCATGTAGGTTCGTGGCAGAAGACAAAGCAAAGAAAGAGGAAAAGCTAGCAAATGATGGAAAGCCAACAACGAGGTAGGATTAAGCCGAAGGCATCACTCAAACACGACCCAAGGAATGCAGGTCGTCGTTGTAAGCACCACCAATCGATCGAAATGAAAACAACAACCCAGAAAACGCCTCCCGTATATTCGCTCCAGTAACACAAGTTCCATCTCCAGCGAGAAACTGTCCCTTGTGTCTTCCTCTGCTCAGACTACCACCTGCGCAGCCAAGCCCCGGGGGCTCGGACACAAATGAGGCCGAACGTTTGGATCATCCGTGGCTACAATCGACCTTTGGCTATTGGGAAATAGTTTCGGGTGAGAGACTTGCGGCATTGTCGTCGAACGAGACGAGTTGATGCATGTCAATATCGGCCTGAGACTGCTCTGTAAAGGGCGGCGAGTGAGGATGCATAGGCAGGTTTAGAGTGTGTTTGGAGTACATCTCGTTGAGTCCAGTGCCGTCATCGGAGATGTTCGAGTGGTCATGCTGCATGGTATAGACATCTGCGGAAGCGCTACGGTGCATCATCATCGGGGGTGACTGATCAACAATAGCCGGGTCGGCGTGGCTCATGAAGGAAAGTGGCGACACAGAGGGTTGGATCATGCCATGGACAGAATCAGCCATTGGGTTGGGTGAGAGATAGGGGACATTGTATGGCGTATTGTTGTATGAAGGGGCAGTAAGACCGCCTGTGTCCGGACCTTGGGAGAAGAACCCGGGGCTTGCAAAATCGGACGGCGATGCGGCTGTAGTAGCGGACATGGGGTATTGCCTGAAATCCATTCCATATCCAGACGACGTGTCGATCCGCAAGTTTGGCCCCAGAGCCCCCATGTTATTTGCCTGCTGTGGGACGGGTGCGAAGATGTTTGGATTGTGATGGTGCTGCGGGTTCTCACCCGTGTGCTGAATAAGGAAGGAAGGCATGGGGTTGTTGAACATCGAAAAGTCGACCGCCATAGGAACGGACCTACTTCGCTGTCTCTTGTGGCCAGGGCCTCTCTGACCAGGAGTGTTCATGTTCACGCCCCACCCCTCCTGGAACATACCAACATGTGCCTGGGCATTGTAGTTTGGCTGAGACGCTGGCCGCATACCAATCGGAGACGAGGGAGCAGATACTGAAATCTGTGGCTCGAATTGGTTGTGACGATTCATGAAAGATTCCAGGGAGACCAGCTTGGCGAGTTGTCCGCTGAGAACCTTGGGGTGTCCGCCGAGATTATGAATCATCTGAGAAGATGCTTGCTGTTCTTCCGTGAAATCACCACATTGGAAGAAACCGCCGGATCCGGACGAATCCATGAAGAAGTTCGGGGGTCGGTTGAGCTCGACAACCAAGCCACCTGGCGTTCCAGACTCCATATCTCCGTTTTCAAGGTAGATGTTCTTGATGAATGCAAAAGGGTACTCGATCTTGTAGCCTGCTTGATCATTGTTAATGTAGTATGTCATGCATGCCTTGTCTGGCGAGTAGAAGATGATCAGATCCATCGCACTTTGGCCGACCCGTCTCCAAGATCCAATGCTCAACGACCGACATGAAAAATGGTGGATAACTTTAGATTCGTCAGTTTTCGGAGACCTGGGTATTTCGACTTTTGCTCCACGTACCAACTTTTCCCTGCGGGCCCTGATCTCCTCCCATCATCAAGCTACCACTGCCATAAGGCATGAGGCCGGAGCGGCCCAGGAAGTTTCCTCCCAACGACTTTCCAGACTCCATAGCTTGGATTGCAAGGTACTGTCGCATTGCTTCAGGAATAGCGTCGCAATCCTCGCCAGTTTCGATGCTCTTCTTCGCCATCAACTTTATCTTTGCGCGCCTAAGGTTTTGTTGGCTTCTGTGTCTCAGCAAATTGTAGGCGCGAAACTCACCTGTTCTGGAACCAAATCTGCACCGAACGCTCTGTCATGTTGATGTCCTCCGCTATCCTCTCCCTAACAGTAGCGGTTGGCGTAGGGTTCTTGTTGAATTCCATCTCCAGCGTAACGAGTTGATCCTGAGTGGCGCGTTGACGCTTCTGATTCTTCTGTTGCTGGGTCAGGGTACTCTTCCGGGGCGGTCTTCTGGATGCTGACGAGCCGCTGGCTGAAGCCGAGGCAGTTGGGCTGGGGGTCGACGACATTTTGATCACCGACGCCGCGTCCTCCTGCGAGATTTCCGACATGCACCGGTTGTCCTCTGGTGCTGAGAATAGTTCCATGACGAGTGCCTTCGTGTTTCTGATTTCGGTGATTCAGAAAAGTGTCTATATGTGAGAGAACCACCTCTCCGTAGATCTATCTCCTGACAAAGACTGAAAGAGTCAGTGGATCGCGAATTGCGAGTAGCGCAATGCGATGGAATCGAATATATCAAAAGGGTCGTCGATGTGTGATTGAATAGGTGAGGGGGGGATATATATTTTTTTTTCGCTGGATCTAGCAGGAACAGAAGAAATGTAGTTCTGTATTGTTTGGCCAATCGAGCGAAGAAATTTGTCGATTTGGAAAAATTCGAGTCTGAACGTAGCGAGAGGGAATGAGTGTGTTCTCTGTATTGTATGTGTGTGGGTGTGTGTGTGTGTGTGTGTGTGAGAGAGAGAGAGAGAGAGAGAGAGAGAGAGAGAAAGGTGTGTGTGTGTGCGAGTGTGTGTGTATTGTAAGTGTGTATGTGTAATGACTGTGATTCCGTTTGTAGCCGGAAGACTGTGCAAGAAAGGAAGGGAGTGAATAGGAGGATATGGAAATGGAGATGGGAAATGGGAGACGGAGACGGAAGAGGCGTCGATGAGAAGTGAAAGCAAAGATGACGGAGAGAGAGAGGTGGCAGAAGGAGTGGATGGAAACTGGAACACCTGGAACTGGCGCTAGAGCAAGAAAGGGAAGGGGGCAGACCACCGGTAGCGGATCGGTGCCAAGATCACGGGGTCTGTGAGTCTGTTAGTCTGAGAGTCTGAGAGTCTGAGAGTCTGAGAGTCTGAGAGTCTGTGAGTCTGTGAGTCTGTGCTGGCGAGACAGGACAGGGAGCCAGGATGGGTTGGGGGGTGGGGGG